AAAGAAGATCCCAGAACTGGAAGCTGGGACGAGAGAGAAGCTTTCATCTCGCAGGATTATTAGGAATCGGGCTTCCTATTCTGGCTCTGTTGCTTGTCCACTCGCGGCTCGTGCGGGGGCTTAACATAATTGGAGTACTGGACTGGGGGAAAGCTTATGCACGAGAAGGGAGTAGAAAGGGACTGGGGCCGGAAAAGCATTCCTCCGAGCCCGGAGTTCGCGCCGCCTGTGGATACAGTGATGTTACAGGGTATATTACAGCCGATATTCGAACCTGTAGTACCAATGCAACAAAAATTACATGTCGGACCGAGAATATACCAAAGTCACTCGCAGCAGGCGGAGCCAGGGAAGACGCTCGAAGTTAACTCTTACTCCGCAGCATTTGCCACACTCTAAGCGTTTTAATCAAATAATGTAACTAGTGGGCGTACATGTTAGTAACCAAACCAATAAAATTCCCTCAAGCTTTACCCTCTGTAATCAGGTTGCAGGACAGGAAAAGGACCCTCATTGGTGACAAATGTCCTTCTCCTGAACACTAAGGTACCTACCTGTATCCGCTCACAGATCATCTGATACCAGAGCCTTGATTGGCTGTGAGCCCGATAAATTCCCGAGGCAGTAGAAATATCTGGATAATGTTGGTTAACGTTGCATGCGAATCATTGATAATATATCCCACTTGGATCTCTCGGTGAGGGCCGTGAGACTGGCATTGTCTGATCTCATCCGTATGATATCAATGGGATATTAATGGACTCACTTCAGTATAACTCTCCTCGTGGGTCAACCGTGTTTAAACCCATCCGTTGCGACCTATGACCATAGATATTCTCCTCTCTGACTGCGGGGGCAATCAAGAAGCTCTAGCTGGGGGAACCATCCCATGATCCTATAACCGGCAAGTCATCAGCTTGTCATTTCGTACTTGTCCTCGGCTTCCCGAAACCGTGTTTAAGGTGAATGTCAGCACGCCTCCCCTCGGCAAACTGGACCAAAGCAAAAAAACGGCAGTTGGATGGGCTCTCATTCGTTCTGTGGGCTGTGGTCCTGGTCTAAGTTTACCTAGTCAGTGCCTAGCAAGGCGCCATTGTATTCTGGTTACACTCATCGACATCAACTCGACCTTATGGCAACTAGGATGCCTACGAATAACCATTCTTAGATCCACTAGGTGCACCTAAACCAGAATGCATCGTCATCACATATGATGGTATGACTCTTATCCCTGATGCCTTCTTTATCTGCTATTCGAAGGGTCATTGCACAAAATAACGCATCCATACCACCATGTCTAATCGGTTGGTTCGTAGACCATGCTGGCATTAGCCCTTTTAATCAACCCCTCTTATCCAGTTTACTACATGTTGCATCTCCCTACTCCATGACAATGCCGACGATTGAAACCTTGCGGTAGGTGGCGGCGAGATCCGGGGGCTGATGTAAAGTAAAAACTGTGGGGATGAAGGGTTTCTTGTGCATTCTCGCGCATGGAGATAGAAGTTAGTGGGTTTCAAGAGCCATTTAAACAACTCCTCCTTCGTATGCTGCTGCCATCGTGTTCCAATGAAGGTTCTAGTGAAAGTCTCAGTGGATGATGAGGATAACGCGGGGCTCCTACCTCAAGAGGCACACAGCCCCTAGGCTTAATAATATCTAATATATGCGTTACCAAGAATACCATGAGTTACAAACAGTATTTATGTACCTGACCTGATCTAGCCAAGAAAGGTACCCTGTGAACAAATTTGGCGTATTGACCATTGTCAATGGATACGAGTTTACAATACGACCATACGCCCATTACAGACATCTGTGCCCTGATCTCGGCCCGTCCTTAGTACCTGCAGTACAGCTGCATAGAACTGTGAATAGTAGGTAGTATCGATTCGAGTCTATCACTGGTTTCAAAAATGCTCTAAACAGGCTTCATTTTGCTCCTCGCAGCTCCCCGCTTCTTCCCCAGATTTTTTTCCTGTCCTTTTTCATGATCTACTTCCCCTTCTTGAATTTATCTCCTGTTTCAACCTCGATATCTGTTTGTTTACTTTCATATCGTGCTGGTCATGGTTGTATTCATGGCTGAATTCTACATGTGACTGTCATCGTCTTATGAGAAGCGACTTACAATGGCCTCAAGACGGTGAGATTTTCTGGTCATGCAAGGTCGTGTCCGTAATATCTTCTTCTTGACTTTACATACTATATTCTTCACTTTTCCCTAAGAAATTTGCTTGTGTCCGTGTCTGGCAATGGACTCCCCCAGTGATACCCCCTCGAAATCCGAACAGAAACCGTGCAAGCAAGCCTGCGACAACTGTAGGCGTCGAAAGATCAAGTGCTCGAGAGAGCTCCCGTGCGACAAGTGCTCTCGGCTCCTCCTTTCCTGCTCCTACAGCGATGTTCTGCGCCGTAAAGGCCCCAAGTTCCGGACTCTCTATCCTCTGGCTCCTATCCATCCGCTCCTTTCACGATCTCGAGATACCTTGCATTATGGCCCTCGACAGCATACTCTGGACAAAGAGTTCCTTCCAGAGGCCGGAGGTTACCCCATAGGAGCCTCTCCCACGTCTCCTCCGTTTTCCGTTGCGGATGCCCAGTTCAACTCCCAAGAGTTCCTGGACTCATTGACACGGCTCGCTCCTCCGGAACTTGTCTCATCCCCCGACTCGACTAACTCCATGTCTGAGTCTGGAACCGGTCAATGCTCTCCTTTTCCAAGACGTCTCTCGTCACCTGTTCTACTGGCACATGTGAACGTCTACTTCAAATACCTTTTTCCCATCATGCCAGTGGTGCGGAAGGAGGAAATACAGGCGGACTGCCACCAGCTGGAAAGACTCTCTTCGCGGAGGTATGCTTTTCTGGCTTCGTTGTGTGCCGCGACTCATATACAGCTCAAGTTTGATGGTGCCATGGACCCCTCTGCCTTCAACACTGAGGGACAGTACATGATGTCAGGGGAAGAGTTGCTCGCAGAGGCGGTACGGGCAAGGAAGGAGTGTGATCCGGTAGATGAAGTCAGCATCGAGAGTCTTTTGACATCAATCTTCCTGTTTGCCTGCTATGGCAATCTCGACAAACAGGAGAAGGCGTGGTTCTACCTGTGCCAAGCTACATCCATGATCTTCACCCTTGGCCTGCATCGGGAGGTGACCTACTCCGAATTCAGTCCTGAAGAAGCAGAAGAAAGAAGGCGTGTCTTCTGGCTGCTCTTCATCACAGAGAGGTGAGTCTATCTGCATCCGACGGGGAATTGCTGCTCGAAAGCCGAATCTGACACCTTGAGTGATTCAGGGGTTACGCATTGCAGCAAGCGAAACCGGTCATGTTACGCAACTCCATCCACAAACCGCAAGTCCTCTGCTCGGACGATCCCATTCTGACCTACGGCTTCATTAATCTAATCAACATGTTCGAGAAACTGACTCCCAGCCTGTACGACTGGATCTCTGCCGGTGGCGGGGATGGCTTTTCCGAGATGCCTCCCATATCCTCCATCCAGTCGAGTCTCTGCAAACCCATGTCGCTAGACGGGGTAGTAGAAATCCAAAGAGTCGACATCCTCGTCACACAGCAGTGGCTGCAGGCGACGATCTGGAAGCTCTCCATGGCGCACGTCTCGCAGCCCGGGTCGCGAGAGGACGCCGTCCTTCCCTTCCATCTCCCACTCCTGGTAGGAAAAGCCGTGATGGACGTCATCGGTGCTGCATCCCAGGGATCTGTCGATGCTCACGGAATCGGCATGGTGAGTCTTTCAATTCCTCCTGATTTTCCTAACCCCGACCAATCGACTGACTTGACTGACTTGCCTTTCCTTCCAGGAACAAAAACTCTTCGACATAGGCATGGCCGTCGCAGACGTTACCCGCTCGCTCGGCTCAAAAGCCTCCCACCACCTCGCCGAATCGGCCGTTGACCCCCGCGAACTCCTCTGGGGCCTCCTCAGCACCCTGTCCCGCATCCGCGGCTCCCCCTCATACCTCTTCCCCACCCTGCTCAATCGCTCAAAAAGCATCCTTGGCCTCGACTGCTCCATCAACATGAGCAATTTCCTCCCCCTCATCGCCGCACCTCCCTCGGGACCCACACCATCCTGGCGCGCCCAAAACCAAAGTAGATGGGACCTGCTTACGGCCGCAGAGCCAGAACCAGAGGAATCGGACCATGTCCCTGCCTCGGTATCGCATATCCCATCCCCCATGACATTTCACGATACCCATCTTCTCCGGGCGGCACGGTAATCGACTACGGAAGTAGAGAAACGGATGTAGATACGGATATGGATACCCGCGTTGTGGTCTGTACTTTTTTTTCAGTGACTTCGATGTATATCCTTATGTTGGTTATCTGTACATATGTTTGTTTATATATGACTCGACGATCCAAGGAATGGATAATGCGTCACAACTGTACGGAGTTAGACATATTGACTAGCTCCAGCTGCTATACCCGGCGTACCCTTTGACGCGAAGATAATCAGTAAGCGCAAGCAACAAATACATACCGCATCCGGTGAGCTGCCTGAGTCCGCCCCATAACGACAAAGGCTATCGATTCAACGGTCTAGCATACGAAGAATTTGTCCAATTCTCCTGTGGCATTTCAATTTCTTGATCAACTCTCATGGCTGGGCCCAAGCCAGGGCATGGCCCCGCTTCTTTTCACTGTAGGCATATGCATAAGCATTTCCATCGATCCAGGAATTAGTTCTGTAATGGATTGAATCCATGCCTCAATCTCAAGCTAGACTAGGGTGCCGATGCCGAAGAAGAATGGATCCTAAAGATCTGGATAAGGAGGCGGCCAAGTTTGCATCTATCTTGAGGTGTTTGACATATAGTTGGATCCAAAACTTGAAAAGAGATCATGCTATCAGAGCAGAGCACGAGCACGGGCTTGTAGAGATAGCCCTCTGTAGTTGGAACTCGGGCTTCCCGAGGCTGATTACATTCCGGTGTCATACGATAGATAGAATTAAGATGAAAACAAACTGGATCAAGAATGGGTATATTGCATATCATTATGAAACCTAATTAGCAAGAAAGCAAGCCACCCTCGAGCAAGCCACCCGAAAGCCACAAGAGATTGATTAGATATTGGTAAAGGCGGGTGCAGCGGTCTCAACGTCTATATGCACAGTGGAAGAATTATGTACGTGAAAACATGCCAGGCATGAAGGCGTCGTCTAGAATAGCCATCGCATAAGCGAAGAGTTAAGAAAAGAACAATATCCGCACAGTGAGGATAGCACGGCCATCTCAGTGTGGGAATAAACGTCTATGCCATCTTCCAGATCAACTCGATGATCTGATCGCCCATCTCGGCGTCGCGGTGGACGTACCATTGGCGCACTTGGTTGCCAAGGAACACCGAGTCCTCGAGAATATAGCTGAATTTGCCCATGTCCTTGGGCCTGAGAGGACCGAGCGCGTGCAGGAACGACTCGTCGATGGCTCCGTTGTCGCCGACCCACGAGACCTCCATGGTCTTGTCGTCCAAGTCGATCTCGGTACTGTATTTGGCGACGGAAAAGCCATTCGTGAGGGTCCAGCCGTCTGAAAACTGCCACTGGCGCAGGAAACACTTATCCCCGCAGAGATTCGTGATGACGCTGAGTTTAGCCATGTCGGCCTGGAACCATGACTTCCAGTGATGTACGGATAGCGGTTGTTCGCGTCCGGACTCGAAGAACCCTGACACGTCGCCTCGCATGTCGAGCTGCCGCAGTCGATAATCCAGCGTCAGCTTCGCCTCCGTGTGCTGGTATATGCAGAGTGAGATTCTCCGGTCCCCGGTGTGAGGCATGGCTTGACAGGCTTCGAAGACGTCGTGGTTGCTCAATTGCTGCACCAGGGGACGAGACAGAAAGACGCCCGCGCCGCCAAATCCCATCAGGCCGAAAATGCCAATTTGTGAAACACTCTCCGACACACCTCCAATGTACGTGGGTTTCGTGTCGTCGTATTGGGCAAGCGCTTCCACCAAGGCCGCCATGGACAGGAAAAAGGTGTCATCGTCAATCACGCAGGCCCATCGCGTCCGCGGCCGCATGTTCTTCGCCAGATGCGCGACCAATGAAAAGTATCGAGTTTGATACTCCTCCTCCGACTGTGTGACGAACAGGTTGATCCCCAGGCTATCGGCCTTGGCTTGGACTTCCTCCACTCGTTCATCCGGTTCAATCAAGGCAAAAATACGAGTGCGTGTGTAACCAGCCCAGTGGGTGAAGGCGTCTAACGAGTCGTTCAGTCGTTCTAATGTCGTAGCAACGCCAAAGTCGATATGCGAAGCATCCACATTCGCAAGTGATGGAGGCACCTCCACCGTAACCGGAGATCTAATGTAGCAATCGTCCTGCGACGGCAGACCCAGCCTACGAGCCTCATCGCTCGACGATTGTTGCTGAAGGAAGGGGATATTGAGCCGTTGTCGGATGGGGAGCTCCGGCTCCGAGGAACGAGCGACGATCATTTCACGCCGTTCATACTGAGAAAGTTTCCGGATATCCAAGCGGCGGAGAACGTCAAAGTCGGGTTCGCACTTGACGCCGGAGGTGATGGTGATATTCTGTATAATTGTCGGGGGTTCTTCGGGCATGGACTCGACGCGGGGCCACAGTTCATAAGTAAAACCAGCAACGAGAAGCAGCGCGACCGAGAAGCGCAGAACCCTCCTTTTCCACATCCATGATGCGCCCATTGCCGGTCTGGGCTTCTCCTCGAATTTCGACAACATTTGAGTTTGTCCTTGTATATGTTCCGCTTTCCCTCGTTCAACCTAAGCTCGAACGGCCAGCGACGATAGAGACAGAAACCGATTACCGTGTCGACAATAGCATGAGCATCCCGACCGACTGCGAAGAAACTGGACGGAGTTCGTGGACGTGGACTGAGCGACGCCAATATAGGAGCCCCTCCGATAGTGCAGGAAAGGGAGACTAAATCGGATCAGGAGGTCACAGCCGGGTCTAGACCTTGAAACGAATATATAGGGGAAGCAAAAAAGAAAAAGACAGGGTAGAGGGGCAGGCTTTCTTCCTTCTCCTTTGTCCACTTCAGAACTGAAGGAAACAGGCGACAGATAAAGAAAGAGAGGGGAAAAAAAGAAAATGGAGGCAAACAGGAAGTCCGTCTCCAGTTAAGTTTCCGGATAAAAGAAAAGTATCTCCAAATGTGCCTGGGCCTCAACCACGGGATGGTGGGATGCAACGCCGACTGCGACTAAAAAGCCCGTCATGGAGACGCAAAGAGGCGAATTAAAGACACGAATGGCTAGGGAAAGTGGGCCGGTGGACTGTGGATCAGCGGCCGCGTCCTTTGACCTTGGCCAGGATGGCTTTTTTGATCCTCAAGGTCACTTCTAATGGAGTCCTGTTCCACAGATACTGCGCTTCATTCTCCTCATTCATTCGTCATCATGGACCATGTACGGAGTAATGGATATTGATGCATTCGTCGACTAACTACCTCATCTGTCTTCACTCTGATTTTCAGTAGGATACCACCATGGAGTATCCGTTCTGTGGAAGTAGGCCAAGGTACTACATAGATGGCAGTGTGTCAACTGTCAATTAAACCTATCGTTGCTTGGCCTGTCAGTTTATTTCAATATCCTGTCTATCTATTATTGGAACGAACCTGCAGACTCTACCTCTTAGTATTTAGACTACGAACGGGGGAACGGCAGTGGCAAAGACGACTCAATTGGATAATTGGAGAAGGGGCTCTAGCGATAATCAGCACCACCACCACCACCATTGCACTATTATTTACGCAATGACGCGCCACCAAGCAGATCGCGTAAGAATTGACAGTTCCATACCCAAGACATCCAAGCAACGAGACATTTCGACGAAAATCAATGCTCAACACAGCGAGTGGGGATCCCGGATGACGACGATTATCTTGGCGGTCACGTGTGTCTAATCCTGGCCTGCGGAACTATGTAGTGTAACTGCACCCTTTTTGCTGGATGTTACGTCCATTCTCTGCTCGTCCAGATCCATACCAATAGTATATGTGCATGAGTGAACAGAGATGCGACCTGCCTCAAAATGATTGCGGGATCGGGAGAGCTTCAAGTGAGCATGGATTGTCCACCACCCTCAGCCAATAAGAATATCGGCAACCCAATGCTGGTGGGTTCAAGAAATAGTGCTGAAGAGTAAGACAGGTACTTAGTGTTCATAGAAGCATTAATAATTAATCGTATTATTGATGTTGAAGCCCTCAAGCACACTAATCATATTAATAGTGATTTCAACAAAGATCAATGCAGCATCAGTCAGGTAGAGCTTCTGGCACAAGAAGCCGCCAAAGTAGAAGCGGGCTTAGTCATCCAACCTGCAGTGATCAACTACGGCACTACGCAAACACCACAAATGCAAATTCCCAAATAAGGAAATATCTGTCTTCCGCACACTGTGGCATGTGGAGGATTCGAGCCAGAACCCCGGATTATTCAGTTCGCCTTCAACACAAAGGCCGCCCTTCCATAACGGCGGAACTGCGTCTGGAAGGTTTGACCAACAATAACCGAACTCCGCAGCACCCCCGTCTCTCGTGCTGGTATCTTCCAACTGCAGCTCCAATCACACCCCGCCGCCATGGCTACGCAGTCATTGAGCTCGTTGCTGCAACGAGCCTCCATAGACGATCATGAAGAGATGCTCAGCTCCGCCAATGCGGCGCTGGCAAAGTCCAAATCGGATATCAATGCCCAACATGTCAAGGTGGTGGCCTTGTTGAAACTTGACCGCTACGAGGACTGCCTGCGAGTCTTTGAAGAAAGCGGGGATGCGTTGAAGAAGAAGGCTGCCTTGGAATACGCATATACTCTCTACAAGCACGGTCAGCCCGATGAGGCGATCAATGTCGTCTCCCGTCTAGCTCGTGGAAGAGGGGGCAACCATCTGGAGGCTCAAGCTGTATGTCCTTTCTCCTTTTCATTTAGAGCCCCCGAGAACAGCGCATCAGGAAAGGGACGCGGCTTACAATGGACTTCCCTTTATCTAGAGTTATCGCGCCGAGAAGTTTCGCCGGACAGCTGAACTTTATGAGGAATTGGCCAAGGACAAGGCGTCGATGGGTAATGAAGAGAACGACCTTCTGATCAATTCCTGGGCAGCGGATGCGCAATTGCAGTGGAAAGGATACCCCGAGTCCGTACGACATGCTAGGCCAACAAGAGAGGACCTGGAAGCGTTCGAGACTGTATACAACGCGGCATGTCTGAGCATCGCCAAGGGAGATTTTGCACAGGGTGAAATGTTGCTGAAACGGGCGAAAGGTTCGTAACCAATGGCGCGCTGGGCCGACTGGCGGCATGGCACTAAAAGTCTTGCAGAACTCTGTCGAACCTCGGAAGACCTCACCCCGGAGGACAGGGCCGCAGAGCTGCTCCCCATTTCGGTGCAGCAGCTGTACGTTTTACTCCGCCAAGGCAAGTCTGAGGAGGCTGAGTCGGTCCTCAAGGAGATTTCAGTAGATGAGTATGTCAACCCAGTTGGCTCATTGCACTGCAACTAAAAGCTTACATCGATACAGTATCCCTGAGCTCTCCACCAAGAAGATTGCCCAACACAACATCACCCTCGTTCAAAACACCGCCGCCAATCCCTATGCCCTGTACAAAGCCTTGCATCAGACACCCGACTCCACCGACAACGATAAGCTCTTTGACTACCAGAATAATGTCATGATGGGTAATTCTCACGCAGCGGACCTGCTAGTCCAGAAATACGACGGCATCATCCGCTCCGCATCCAAAGAACTATCCAAAGCAGCCTATCCCTCGCTCGACGCCAGGACCAATCTGCTCTCGGTCTACAGCGCAGCCGCACACGCACAAGGCCAAACCGGGCCCAAGGCCCTGAAAGCCATTCTCCCAGTCCTGGAGAGACAGCCCAAGGACATCGGGTTGGTCCTGACTGTCGTCCAACTCTACGTCAATGCAGGCAATACTACTTCCGCCATCAACACGCTGGAGAAACTGCTCCAGAACCTCGACGAGTCCATTGCCGAGCAGGACAAGGATATCCGCTTCAGCCCCGGCCTGCTTACAGTGCTGGTGTCCTTGTACAAGCTTGAAGGCCGCAAGGGTCAGATTCGGTCAGAGTTAGCCAAGGCAGCGAACCACTGGCGAAACCGCGCCGAGGCCCCTGTACCCCTCCTTCGTGCCGCAGCGGCGTCGTTACTACACTCCTCTGACCACGCAGACCTAACCCTCTCAGGAGAACTGTTCAAGGATCTGTACCAGAATAACAACGGCGACCAATTCGCAGTGGCCGGCTACGTCGCCTCGCAGGCCACCCTTGACTACTCCAGGGTCGAGTCGCAGCTCGGAAGCCTCCCAGCTGTTGATGATCTGATCGCAGACGTTGATATTGCCGCCCTGGAGCAAGCGGGCATCTCTCCTTCCTCGGCGACAGCGGCAGCCGCTGCCGCCGCGATCGCCGGCGCGAGGAAGAGGACTGCAGCGGAGAGCCAGACCCGCGCGACGAAACGGGTCAGGAAGTCACGTCTTCCTAAGGACTACGATCCTAACAAGGCTCCGGATCCGGAGCGGTGGCTACCCCTCCGCGACCGGTCCACGTATCGGCCCAAGGGGCGGAAGGGCAAGCAGCGTGCTGCTGAGAGGATGCAGGGTGGTGTTGTCAGTGAGAAGGCGGAGGAGACGCCGGCTACCACACAGCCAAAGCCTCAAGGTGGAGGTGCCAGTTCGAAGAAGAAGAAGAAGGGAAAGCGGTAGGCGCGTTTTGCATTGAGCGTTTATGTAGAGATGCCTTGCATGGGAGCGACCTAGACTATAGTGAACTGTGGCTTGCGAAGCGTGTAGATGACCTTCACCTTCCTAAATTATCTTTCAATCTCCTGTATTGATACTCAAGAAGGTACCGGAACATATTCAAGAACTGAAATCAGAACATCCAAGCTCTGCCAGTGCGAGATTCTAGGGGACACGACTGGCGCGGAACGAAGTCAGCTAAAGTGACCTCGGCAAACTCATTCAAAACAATCGATGAATTTCCAGCACTTAAGACCTCCACCCAAAAAGCTCCTAGCCAAGGGGAGTTCGAATGGTCCCGCACTGCCGATCGTACTGCTCGAACATCATCCGGAACAACTTTAGATCCTGGAGACCATCTACAGCCGTCGTCTTGGCTGGCTTCCCTTCAACGAGAAACGCATACAGCGCCTTCAGCTCCTCCCGATACCCATCCTCCCAACTACTCACACTCTCCGTCTTTCTGAGTACGCCCTGATCATCCATCTCCTCCACCACCACCCGCAACAGCTGGCCCCGCGCATACGGAAGCTCGTAGTAGATGCTCACGGTCTTCGTACGCCCGTAAATAGCGAGGTGCGCATCACACCGCGGCACGGAGTCCGTACCCGTCTCGTACACCAGGGTAAACGGGTGTCCGCCCCTCGCCGCAGTATCCGTGTAGTGGAAAATGGCCGAGTAGAACGGATCGTTCACCGAGATCGTGGAGATGGTATCCGGCGCGCCGAGCGTATCCCGCATCAGACCCAGATCATGACACCCCAGTGAGGCGAGAAACTGGCACAGCGCGATGCGGTCCTGGCTTAGCTCTTGTCCGCTGAATACTTCCTCCAGAAGCCCCTGCAGGAGATGCTTGTCGCCGGTTCCCGCCCCATTACTGTTGCTGCTGCACGTCTTGGGTACCGTCGGATTCTGGGGCGTGGTGGCTGAGTGCGCTGTGTGTGGGCCTGCGATGTTCCGACACCGAGCGTAGTAGATCCGGTCGAGGCTCGCGACTTCTTTCTTGAACACGTCCTCGAAGCACGGTACGTAGCGGCGCGCGCAGGCGACGAAGACCTTAGCCCCGTTCGGCGCGCACTTCTCGGCGGCGATGATCCGTTTGGTGCTTCTAATGCTGAGGCTTACAGGGGTTTCGACCATGACATGTTTGCCAGCCTCGAGGGCGGCGATGGTGTAGGTCTCGTGATACTCGTTAGGGAGGAAGTTGAGGATGAGATCGATACTGGGATCATGTATGACATCGTCGATTGAAGTGGTGGTTCGCGGGGAGCCCGTATTGTTGGCGCTGCTGACTGCACTGTGAAGGACTGCGATTTTGAAGTTTTGATCTAGGGCTCGTAGGGCAGGTAAGTAGATGGTCTGGACTACTTCGCTGTCGGCGCCGAGGATTCCTACTCGGAGCGGTGGTTGAGCCATCTCTGCGACTGTCAACTGTATTGAGCGCTGCCGAGATAGCCTTGGAGTGTACTTGAATGCTTCTTAGGTGGGTAGAAAGCTATCTAAACAGGAGCTGTCCATTGGAAGATAGCGACTCGAAATCATCTCTCCAGAAGAGAAGGGACACCGTTCCGAAATAATGACTGGAGTAAGGGACTTGTTTGATGAAAGGCTTAGACGAAAGGGTTAGGAGCCCACGTAGGAGATGATAAAAGGGAGTTGAGTCCTGCATTCCCCCTTCTTTAGACCTCCTCCGGATCCATTATGGGATGACATCAGCCATACCAAGAAGTGACCATTATGTTAGATGCTATATGGCGAGTATATGTGCTGAGGTTACATGGTCTTGATCATATGACCGTAACAATTTAACAGAATACTGTCCAATGAGCACATGCCTATCTCAGATCCTCTATGGTGTGTTGCTGTACAGTGAGCTGGTGTACAGATGGTTTTGTAGTTGATGACGCTTGTATGGAACTGATCAGTAAGCGGTGCATATCTCGCTTAATGCATCAGTTATGAAACTTGTGGTTGAGCACACAAAAGTGTCTTTCAGATATTGTTACCTATAGCAAAATCAACTATGCTGTCTATTCAAAACAGCCAGACAAATAATTTTAAATCAATTAGAGCAATGTATGAATGCGCACAAGATGATGGCGGTGATATCAGCCACAGCAAGTGGAGAGGAAAGGTCCAAGAGTCAAGAGGCAAGGTTTGTACAGCCCAGCACAGCCTTGAGCCTCCATGGTTCAATGAATTGGTTGAGTTTCGGAGTCAGGAGACAACCATGGACGTTGACGGAGAATAATATCGCACTGGGATGTACTTGATGCGATGTTTTTCAATGTTCTATGCAACTGTAGCCTCGAGATGAGATTGATAGCCTTCTCGCGGTGTTTTTGTCGCATTTTGCTAGGCGAACTACTCCGTACATTTGTCTTCTATGTACCCTGGAAGCTGTTTCTCTTGTTGTATGCAGCTTACAAGTACGCGATCATCTGCCTGGCCACAGCGATGTAGTAAGAATGCAGTTGCTTCCTTCTTAAGCAAAGGTCATTCATATTTTGCTAGATACTAAGAATAAAACTACCCATAAGCGGGTCTCATGACAGGGCTAGTTCCAGCTGAAAGTCGTCATCAATTAAACTGCCCCAGTTGAGCTTCCATATTTTAGTTTCATTTGGACTTCATAGTCGTTCCATCTTTGACATTCTCTCTTCTCACTCTTTCTATTTGTCCCGTGAACTGTGACATTCCTATCCCAGTTTCAAAGAGTGCACACCACAGCAATGGGGGTAAGTATTGCCATCATCTTCAGAAATATGCCCCGCGTCTGCCCCGCTCTCCCTAAACGGAGTTTGTTTGTCTGAAATGGAGGGTGATGAGAGGTTGTCAGTCGATCAAAACAAGGACAGATATAAGGCTGTGTACGACGATGACGATAACGATAATAATGATGATGATATATCAACCCTCTACTCACTGAAGACTGACGATTTACTTGCTTCTGCATACAGTTTGCCTCCAAAATCGCCAACGCTCAAAACAACCCGCAGAAGATGAGCGGTGCTTATTCGGGAGCTCCGCCCGCTGGCTACCCAGGAGGTCCTCCTGCATCGCTGCAGCCTGGTGCTGGTGGATATGTGAGTCCACTTTTTTCTTTTTGCCCCTCGTTTTTTACGGTCTTTAGTATCGTTAATCATGTATTGGCGTCATCGTCATTAACTACGGTCGCAACAATGTTGAGTTTGCTGACGCTGATACTCGGTTATCCCAGCAGCAACAGCAACAGCAGTATCAAGCTTACCCAGGCGCTCCTTCGCCATCTACTCCTGGCAATCCGGTAAGCGCAAATTTCTTGCTTAGTGCTTGACATTTTCACTTTTCCCCTCGTTTCTTATTTCTTTGTCTTTCCTCAAACAAATGCCCGCTGCGGCCAGCAATCTTTCCATCGAATGAAAGTTGTCCTCCCCGGTTACATTATCACTCCACATTGCTCGTCTGCCCCTCCTTCCATCAGAAATTGTCGAACCCCCAATTCCTGGGACTACAAACTTCAACCTTCCCTGCTACTGCTCCGGTGATTGAAGACGCCGTCCATCATCATGTCTCGACCTTATTATAACCAACAAGGATATCCTCCTCAGCTTCGACCTGGTTCCGCTCAGCCCCAGTCTCCCTATCCAACATCTACTCCGCCGCCGCAACAGCAACAATATCAGCCCTATAACGCTCCCTCGGTGCCTCCGAACAAGCCAGCTCCTTCACCTTCCCCGGCACCTACATCCTACTCTCCTTATCCTACTGCCCAGTCACCTGCATCTCAGGGATATCCGCAAGCACCGTACAGCCCCCATCCACAGTCACAGGGCTACCCTCAGGCTTCACCCTATGGTACTGGACCTTCATATGGCCAAGGGCAGCCTCAGCAGGGTTATGGACGAACGGCCCCACCTCCACCACAGGCTCAGCCCTACGGACAGCCATATTCTCCACAGCAACAGGCATATGTACAAACTGCGTTCCCAAATTGATTCGGTTGCCGTGTTTTGCAAGTTTTGCGTCACTGTGCGACTCTTTTTTTTCCCCTATCATGATTGCTGACTGTGATCGCTTGTTTAGGGACAGCCTTATGCTCCTCAAGGCGCGCCGTACCAAGGCGGTCCTGGAGGCCCACCAGGGGCCCCAGGACAAGCTGGATATGGCCACCCTGGCGGTGCTCCTCCCGCCCGTGCCACTGAGCAGCAGATCGGCGCCTACAAACAGCTTTTGATTGGCACCATTCAAGAGAAGAATCTGCAAACCTTTTACCCTCCTGATAGACTAGATAGACTTGTCCAGTCGTTGGCCAATGACGCTCCCGCAAGGGTTGATAGACTTGTCCATGAGTGGTCCGTGCCCCAGGAAGTGGCAATGGACGTCATGAAACTTGCTCTTTTTGATGTTATCCTTTATGTCGATGACAGTGGTTCCATCGAGTTCGAAGAGAAGGGAGTGAGAAAAGAGCAGCTGAGACAGATTCTCGGCATCGTCGCAACCGGCGCGTCGACGTTCGATCAAGATGGCATCTCCGTGCGCTTCATGAACTCCAATGAAATTGGCGATGGTATCCGCAGCGTCGACGATGTCAATATGCTCGTCTCACGCATCCGCTTCGCCGGCCTGACACCATTGGGTACAAGCTTGAGGAACAAGGTCCTTGAGCCAATGGTTGTTGCGCCTGCGCGGGCCGGTCGTCTGCAGAAGCCTGTCCTGATCATCACCATCACTGATGGTCAGCCTGCCGGTGAGCCACACGACACCGTCGCTAGCGCCATTCGATATGCCAGCGAAGAGGTATCCAGAACCCAGTACGGAAGAGGTGCCGTTTCGTTCCAGTTTTCGCAGGTTGGAACCGACACCAAGGCCCGCGAATTCCTTGCCAGCCTGGATGAGGATCCCCACATCGGAGGTTTGATCGACTGTACATCCAGTAAGTAGTGTCGCACGTGCAACTCGTCCTTAGCACAGAACACTAGGCTAACAGAACGGCCAGACTTCGAAGTCGAACAGGATGAGATGGCTCGCGCCAACCCTCCAATTCATCTGACTCGCGAGCTCTGGGTAGGTCCTTCCAGGAAGTACTTATTGTGACTCGCTGACCATTTCCAGTGCGCCAAATTGATGCTCGGTTCCATTGATTCATCGTACGATACCAAGGACGAAAAGGCTTCAGGACGTCCCGGTGGTCCCGGCGGTCCTCCCCCTCCTGGACCTCCTGGCCAGTACGGAGGTTACAACCCAGGCCAAAACTATGGTCAACAGCCCGGCTACTATAACCAACCCCAACCCTCTGGATACAATCAGCCAGGAGCCTATGGCCAGGGACAAGGCTACAACCAAGCGCCTTACTCTCAAGGCCAGGGTGGACCCCCACAGCCCGGCTATGGACAGGCGTACGGCGGATATGGAGCCCCTCCTCCCTCTGACCCATACGGACGTCCTCCTTCTGGGCCTCCTCCCGGTGGCTATCCCCCGCAGCAGAGACCACCCTATGGACAACCTCCCCCACCCCCGAGGTACTGATCGCGAAATGCGGATGACACGTGACTTCCGTACTTTCAAGCCGGTTATAGTCGTCGTCCTTTTTCTTGCTATGGCAGCATACGTAGAGCCTTGCCATGATATTGCTAATTGATACGTCCCTGAAGAGATTGAGAAATATGTATGGGCGAGGTTCTTCCGGGTACACTCGGTGGGGTAGGATAGATATGGTGAGGATGTTGTTCCATAGCTTCACGAGACTTGTATTCTTTCAATTATGATAATTTGTGCGAGTTGTTTGACATCTTTACTTCACTATCAGACAAGATACCTGGGATGGCTGGCGAATAGCACCTCATTCAGTGCAAGGGGATCGTCGCACCTAAGAGCCGTTGTCAACCAAACGTTTACGCGCATGACGTAGGACCACGAGATGAGAGGGTGAGCTGCCAGTCACATGATCAATGATTGATTCGTACACAGCGTGTGCAAGCCATAAAACAATCAGATGACTTTACAGACTTGAACCTGAGCCCAGCTTTGGCTTCATACGGAGCGGCCCAAGCCAGGAAAACCAAGTTTGCCACCACACTACCAAGTAGTCCGCACCCAGCACCCACAAGGCTGCGTACACTTCTGCCAAGCAGTCCATGGTAGGCCTTACGGACCACTGTTCAGTGTCCATTGAGATTGATCCTTCAGATGTACGTACCTTTGTACCTATGTTTCGCCCGAAGATTTCTATGGTATGTTCAACGTGAGTTCCAGAATTCCAGAATTGGAGTATGGAGCGCTCCATCCCGCCACATTCGAGAGGGTTTGTCCAGAAGTATCCACACGTTCTGTTCGAGAACTTATTGGCCTTCTTTTCAGTCTCATAGGCCAAGGGGGCTGTGCACTACTGCATTCACAACTAGGTTGTCTCCTCCATATGGTCCAGTCTGAAGGGCTGTGAAGATGCAAGCCTCTTAGTCTACTTCATCAAGGGTATTATCAGGTTGAACCAAATATATATATATATTTTTTAATAAAAAATTGGTGCTAATGCTTAGTAGATGTCAAATTGTATCTGGCAATGGATTTTGCTGTAGCCTTGACCTAGAGATGTCACTGCTGTGGGATTATTTGTACGGGAGCTGGAGGTGGAGAGGGGGAATGGAGGAGGCCAATGTCCTCAGCCAACCTAAACCTCGAGGTTAATCCTAATTATTCTTAGGTCATTCTACCCATGTTCGTTGCGTGGCCAGCCAAGTTTATCTAGCCTAATATCCATCTACTTTGCAAATTGCCATCCGTAAATGAAGTAGTAGAGATGACCCACGCCCTCCAAGTCCTGGACTCTGGAGTTTCTCCGCAGAGTGAGCCAAGCCTGCAAGAAGACAGGAAATTCAACAAGTAAGGATCTAGATATCTAACATTATAGGCTTGTTGCTCATCTCTCCTTGTCTCGTCTTTGATCGTTACTCTAATCAATCTCTCAGTTTATTGTAGCATTCCGCGCTGCTTGCATATCCTCTAATTCTCGCCTCCCAGCAGCGAACCGTCAAGTCGGCCATCTTTCCGGATTCGGTTCTCCCCCGCCATTTTTCTTTGAGCCTGGAGTTTTGTTGCCAGTCTGTTGCAACAAACCGCCTCCTGGGACGCCGTCTGCGGAAAGCATCCATTGCTTTTTCTCTTCTTTCTCTCTGATCTCTATCTACACTACTGGTTTAGACGCCTTTTGTTTGTTTATACTTTTTTATCTTCTTTCTCTTGTACGGGTTTTGCAACAAGCTGGTTTCTTTTCTTTTCTTTCTTTTTTACTCCGATACCCGCCGTGTTGGTCTACAGTCTGTCTTCATTGACCAGTTGCAACACCCACTACAGTCGTTTCTGTTTGAAATAGGCGGTCTCTCGCTTTGTCGGCAGATTATCTGGTGATCGCAACCGCACAGTCTCACGAGTTCCGAAGTGTTGCCCCGGGTTGCAGCAAATGTGGTAATCCTGGTAGGACGCCGGGATCAAAGCATGTGCCAGCATCGTCGGTTTTGATTATATTCTTACGACAATACGCACATATCGCTCGATTCTGATACTCCAGTTGACGGATAAGAGAAGGTGGTAGATCGATGGATGGATATTGAGTCAACAAAACGAAAGAGATCGTTAGCGAGCGGCACCTTGCAATGTCGGGACACTATGCATCAAGAAATGAGACTCGGATTACGGAAGACACGATTCGAGAGGAGGATCAGGCATTGACCGAGCAAAATCCAACACACAGCTCCAATATTTCGGCAAGCCAATCTCCGAATAACGTGCCAGCACGAGAAAATGTCGCTCATCCTCGATCTTCCATGTCGCCGTCCCGAATATCGTCGGATCTCGGCCGAAGACCATCTCAGCAGCGAAATGTACGGTTTTCCACAGACCTCGAACGACCTATTGTGGAGGAATCCAGGAATGCTCGGCCTGGCTCCAGGGGCCTGACAATCGATACGAGTATCACGAACACTGCTGTCTCCCCAGTGCGCTCACCTGTCGCATCACCAGAGCGCGGGCCGACTTCACCGCTATCCCCCAATAGCGCTCTTTCCCCAACGTCTCCGCAAAGTCCAGATGTCGGTCGCTCACGATCCCGTAATCGCGGATATTCACTTCGGCGTACCATTTTCGCAAAGAACATCCAGACGCAAGATGTAACATCACCGGGGGCTATTGAATTGGGCCCAGCGGTTGACTCGCAGCAGCTGCCGGAGACATCGACATCGAATGATCAGCCACAGGCGACAGGAGACGAGAAGCACTCGGAAGTCGTGCGTTCAACACTCACGTCGGAATCTTCACCCAAAGATGACGGCTCAACAACATACTACTCTGATCCCAAGGACGGCAGGCACCTTTCTATGAGTGTTTCGTATGAGAGATGGTTGAAGCGGAGAGCTACTTGTACTATGTTCATGGTGCGACTAGAGAACGCGATTGAAACTGTGCGCAAGGCCATCCTTCGAATCAAGGACATTCCTCCCACCAAAGACGGCCGTCATATTGATCTCGATGTGACTCGCACCGAGGACTTGATTGACGAAAGGACTGGTAAGCCATACGTTGGAAATTGGATCCGATCCAGTCGTTATAGCTTCTGGAGTTTCTTTCCCAGGCAATTGTTCGCTCAGTTCACCAAGTTGGCCAACTTCTATTTCTTAGTCGTGGCTATTCTGCAGATGATTCCGGGTTTAAGTACCACAGGTACTTTTACTACGCTTATCCCTCTTTTGATTTTCGTTGGTATCTCAATGGGCAAAGAAGGGTTTGACGATTGGCGTCGTTATCGTTTGGACAAGGAGGAGAATAATCGGCTTGCATCTGTTCTGCGTCCTGGTGCCAGTCTTACCGCTGCTGCGACTACTGCTGCCAGCGACAGCGTTTCTGTTTCAAGCGATGCGCACAATTGGGCCCTCGTCAAGTGGCAGGACATCAAAGTTGGAGATGTGATTAAACTCGAGCGCGACCAGCCTGTCCCAGCTGACATTGTCTTACTCCATGCAAATGGGCCCAACGGTGTAGCTTACATTGAGACTATGGCCCTAGATGGCGAGACCAACCTCAAGAGCAAGCAGCCTTGCCAGCCAGTGGCTAAAGTGTGCGGGACGGTTGAAGACATCTGCAGCAACTCCATTCACTTTGCCGTGGAGGACCCGAACATCGATCTATACAAATTTGATGGCAATGTGATTGTGAACGCCGAGAAGTTGCCCCTGACGAATACTGAAGTGGTTTACCGCGGCAGTATTCTTCGAAATACCGAACGTGCCCTTGGTATGGTCATCTACACTGGCGAAGAGTGCAAGATCCGAATGAACGCCAACAAGAACCCGCGGATCAAGTCGCCTTCCCTGCAGGCAAAGGTCAATCGAGTCGTCATGCTGATTGTTTGCCTCGTCGTTATCCTGGCGGTTGCTTGTACCGTTGCGTACAAATATTGGTCACAGGATGTTGAGCGCCGCGCTTGGTATCTCGAAGAGGCTAATGTTGACTACGGCCCTATTTTTACTTCGTTCCTTATCATGTTCAATACCATGATTCCGATCTCGCTTTATGTGAGTATGGAGATCGTCAAAGTTGTTCAGATGTTCTTGTTGAACGACATCGACATGTATGATGAGGAAACCGACACACCCCTCGAAGCGCGAACATCCACGATCAACGAGGAGCTGGGACAGGTCAGCTATGTTTTTTCTGACAAGACCGGTACATTAACGAACAACTCGATGCGCTTCCGTATGATGAGCGTCGCGGGGACTGCCTGGTTTCATGACTTTGATCTGCGTGAAGAAGCTGCGAGAGATGGTGATCGAAAGATGTTGATCCACAAGAAACGGAGTGTCAAAGGCAAGAAGGCTATGGCTCGTAAGTCCCACGCTTCAGATACTCGAGAAGCGTTAAGACCCTCCAATGTGTCGAACGCTCTGGAGGTGTCTGGTTCGATGTCCATGGGCCCTCGAAAGATTGCAAAATCCATGGCCGATCGCCGTACCACCGATATGTTGAGATACATCCAACTTAAGCCCTACACCGTGTTCGCGCGGAAAGCCAAGCTGTTCCTACTGGCAATAGCGTTGTGCCACACATGCATACCGGAGAAGGACGAGTCTGGAAACGTTTCTTTCCAGGCAGCATCCCCTGATGAACTAGCTCTGGTGATGGCTGCGCAGGACCTTGGCTATCTCGTCGTTGATCGACAACCAAACACCCTGACTATTCGGACTTACCCCAATGGTCCAGAAGAAGAGCACCAAGATGAGGTCTATGAAATCTTGGACGTCGTCGAGTTCACAAGCACTCGGAAACGCATGTCTGTTGTGGTGCGAATGCCGGACCAACGCATCTGTCTTTTCTGCAAGGGTGCTGATAGCACGTTGATGCGGTTGCTCAAACGTTCCTCTCTTGCTCATGAAAAAGCAGTCGAGATTGAGCGGCGTGCCAGCAAGCGCAGAGCAGCCGAGGCAAATCAGGTAATGAGACGAAATAGTGAGCACCAGAGTCGGAAGGATAGTGGAGTCAGATCCAGCTTCAGCCGGCCAAGCTTCAGTCGTCCCAGCTTCGGTCGACCTAGCATGACGAAGAACAGACGCTCCAGTGTTTCCGGGCAGAACGTCTCTGTGTTGAGAGAAAGCATTGATATCTGGCTTCGTGATCGTGAGACTGATGGCGGTCTTTTGACACGGGAATTTGATGATGAGTACTACAGCCCGCGTCCGTCTGCTCAGCTTGGCAGGCAGTCCACATCTTTCTCGGACTCGGGAAGCTCTGTCAACGAGGAGGACCAAGATGATCTGGTCGAGGAGGCTCTGGTCGTAAACGAATCGGCAGTCTTTGAGAGGTGCTTTCAGCATCTGAATGACTTTGCTACGGAGGGCTTACGGACGCTCATGTATGGCCATCGTTTCCTCGACGATTCCACGTATCACGAGTGGAAGGCGGCCTATCACGAGGCTAGCACCAGTCTCATTGACCGTCAGGAAAAAATCGAGAAGGTTGGTGCTCAGATCGAAGAACAGCTCGAACTGACTGGCGCTACGGCGATTGAGGACAAATTACAAAAGGGCGTACCCGAGGCCATTGACAAATTGAGACGCGCCAATATCAAGCTGTGGATGCTCACTGGCGACAAACGTGAAACTGCCATCAACGTCGGCCACTCTTGCCGTCTGGTTAAAGACTACTCTACTCTTGTCATCCTCGACCATGAAACTGGAGATGTTGAACGCTCAATCTTGAAGATGACTGCAGATATTAGTCGAGGATCCGTGGCTCACTCTGTCGTCGTTGTTGATGGACAGACTCTGTCGATCATCGAGTCCGACGAGACTCTCCGGGCTCAGTTCTTCAAGCTGGCCATCTTGGTTGATTCTGTCATCTGCTGCCGTGCAAGTCCAAAACAAAAGGCATTCCTCGTCAAGTCGATCCGGCTTCAAGTCAAGGATTCTGTGACTCTTGCGATTGGTGATGGCGCCAACGATATTGCCATGATCCAGGAGGCCCATGTTGGAATTGGAATCACTGGCAAGGAAGGCTTGCAAGCAGCTCGGATTTCCGATTACTCGATCGCCCAGTTCAGATTCTTGCTGAAGCTACTACTCGTTCACGGGCGGTGGAATTACATCCGAGCCTGCAAATACACGCTTGGTACGTTCTGGAAGGAAATGCTGTTTTACTTGACCCAGGCACTGTATCAGCATTGGAACGGCTACACCGGGACCAGCTTGTACGAGCCATGGAGTTTGAGTATGTTTAATACTCTGTTCACATCGCTCGCTGTCATCTTCCTTGGTATATTCACCAAAGACTTGTCTGCGTCCACGCTGTTGGCTGTCCCAGAGTTATACACCAAAGGTCAGCGGCATGGCGGGTTCAACATCAAACTTTACCTTGGATGGACGTTCATGGCTACCTGTGAAGCTATGATTGTGTTCTTCGTCATGTACGGACTTTTTGGAAACATCCTCTTCACAAATACCGGAAGCGACATCTTCTCGGCTGGGCTCATCACATACTCGGCTTGCGTCATCATCATCAACACAAAGCTACAGGCCTTGGAGGTGCATAACAAGACCTATCTTTCTTTGATCGTCATTGTGATTTCAGTTGGAGGATGGTTCTTGTGGAACCTGATTCTCTCCCGCCGGTACCAGATCAAATCTGGTAATGGCATTTATCACGTGCCGGGCAACTTCATCTTGCATTCCGGCCGCGACCTGGCTTTCTGGGCGGTTCTCTTCGTTACGGTTGTTGCTGTTGTTATCTTTGAGGTGTCTGTCAGCGCGATCAGAGCGAACCTCTTCCCCACAGACGTCGACATCTTCCAGGAGTACGAGCAGGACTTGGAAATCCGGAAGAGATTCGAAGAGGCCGCCGCATCCGAGTTACAGCAAGGCTGGGATCGTGGCAAGAAGAAGTCGAGCTTCGAGCTGGCTCGAGAAGCGGCGGAGATGGAGGCGCGTGAGAAACAGGTCCAAGAGCTCCTGGCGCGGCCCAGAGTCATGACCAAGACAGGCTCTGGCCAGATTGAAATGCAAGAAATCGATCTGAGCGAGTTGAACGGCTCCAGCAGGGATGACTCTGGACACGCGACGGAGGATGAAGGAACGAGCACGCCACGCCGATCGGTGGAGATTCACGAGTTGTTTTCCAAAGGGTTTGGAACCATTCGAAAGGGCCAGCTGAAATGATTGCTTTTGCTTCTTTCTTTTTCTTTTTCTCTTGTCATTAACAGAGCATCATGGCGTTGGCACCGTATACCCCCGGGATGCTCAGTCTATCGTTTTGTTGGTTTACTGTTATATACCATCTGCACTGTTGTACATGAGCCTGAGATCAGTATATTCATACCCACTGTATTAACCGTGTGTCTCGATAGAATACGACGTCTACTGTGTCTTTCTCCATGGAATATTTGACAGAAGCTGTATGGAGCCTGCCAGAATATTATGTAGACTACAAATGGGGTGGTATGTATCCCCTGCGGACTGGCCAATAACCCCCTCTGTTGCCGTTCCTCCCGTTTCACCCTCCCGCACCAGATACAACACCAAACACCCGCCGCAAGAAGCGCTACACCAATGATCGGAACGCCTATCATGATAAACCGCAAGATAGGCTCCCAGCCGGGCATATCCGACCCCTCATAGCCCCTGTCGTACCTCCCCGGTGGGATGGTCTCCCCCGGCACCCATGTCGGGATGATCATTGAATTCGTTAGTAACGGCAGCGATGGTTACATGATCGCCGTGTCAGATCCTGCCCAGGAGATTGCCCATGCCTGGTGGACCTGGACTCCATCTGTAAATAGGATTTGCGCGCCCTTGCCGTGGGAGAGTGTGCCTGTGATTGTTGTCTCGCCGGGAGTGAGTGTACGGTAGCAGGATGCTTTGATGTTGAAAAGGTCCGGTCAGGTTTCTTGAGAGGGAGAAGCCGCTGTACAGTGTCAGTTCTGGTTGTCTCTTTTTGTGGGGAAGGGGAGGGCTGGTCTAAATCATGAATCAAGGAATAGGCAGGTCACACCAGGAGCAGCAGTACGCTGTCGATCGCCTATAGTCAAATCGATCTGTGGCCATTTGATGGTATGTCCATTCGCTAGGACATACAGCTGGGCTGAGTGAGAAGCGGGCCGTGCTGTTGCTGTCCCATCCTGGGGGGTTGGCAAGACGGAAATCGCTCGTCGGCGCGGTCTGAAACTAGGATTGTGGTGAGTCTGAGGGTAGAGTTGATTCTTGTTGCGCTGCTTGTTATATCCCAGATAGAGGTGCATTCGGGGTTCTGTACGAAGGGCGTTGTGAGGGCTGGGAGGGAGGCTGTGCTTGCGGCGGTTGTAGTTGTACTTGAGAAGCTTGTCTCGCTGGCTATCATGTTCGCACCGCTGGCGCTCGCCATAGAGGCTAGGGCTACGGCTAGGAATCTGATATACATGAATACGCACATGGAATAACTTAGGGCCTGGGGGTGGGTGATGGGAGGGGATTACTTTCTTTAAGATCCATGTCGTCTACAAGGCTAATCAGAATATCAGACCATGTTATGACTTATGTATGGAGGTTAATTTAAGATAGATGGCCCGAGTCATCTGGGGTTGAAGACCCACGATTCATCGACAGAGGTAACTGGTCAAGTTTCACTTCGTGGTTATTTAGCGATGGTGCTATGTACTGAACAGCACGTACCTCATCTTGGCAATATAACAACAGCTTACGCTGCCATATCGCTTGCATATTATTTGAAGGCATATCTCGCTGTAAAAGACTTACGGTTATCCTTGTGCTGCCTCGACAATCACAGCCTTGACATCTACGATTAGCTCAAGCGGGAGCATGTGACTTCTCCGAGCTGGTCGATGCGAACTTCGAGAAGCGAAAGGCATCCTTCACGGACAGAATAATGACAAGGGTTGTATCACCTTCTTCATCGATGGAAATTTGGGCCATAGTCTTGAGCGCATGGACGACGATGTACAGTACACCATGTATGGCCTTCTGGGACTACTGGTCAGAGAAAGGAGACACGATCTCTGCCTGCAACTTCGTCGTCGGAGTGGGATGCCGGTATGAGAGAAATCAGTTCTTCATGAGTCAGTGAGCTTGTGTCCGCTGCATGTTGACAGCACAATATTATGGTATCCATGGTATCGCGCATCTGCCGACAAGCCCGGCCTTGTACACGGACCAGTTCAACTGGCTTACACCTTGAGCATTGTCCTCAGTTTATACTGATCAGTGAGAATTGTGGCATCAGCAAGCGCCGATCACCGTTTCTACTACCCCATCGTCGGCCCGCATAGCCAACTTAAACAGGTTGACGGGCATGAGGAAGCCTTGGACGACATCATCTCTGCCAATGGAACTGTCCTCGAGAACCCACCGCCTAGCTTGCATCTTGGACGAGTCGAGATTCTAGAGAACAGAACTGTTTTCAATAACGGCACGGTTCTCGAGAAAGAGTATCCCTGACCCAGGCTCTAATTTCGCCTTGGGGGTAAGCTTGAGAACCGGAAGTTCATTGTTCAATGATGCTTCTTAGGCTGCGGATGCATGACATGACTAAGGCAAGAGATGCGAAACTTGCTGTTGCTCTGTTGCTCTGCACATAAGCTCGGATTGAGTATCGACACAATCAATCGACCCACCTTTTTGAGCTCACACTCGAATAAACCTCACTGTCTTTACATCTGAGCAGGCTTCAACTGCCTGTTCAGGGTGGTTCTGGTTCCTTGATTTCACTGTGGCGGTAGGATGGGATGCTGTGGTTGGTCCCTGTCCCAGGGTGGTCTAGCGGCTGGGGTCGACATACTGTGATGCACTAGGGATGGGTTGGGCCAATCAGAATGTCAGCTATCGGACAGAGGGCGCACGGATCATCGATAGAGGGACCATGAGGTGGTGCGAGTCTGGTACCTTACGTACTACCTCACTGAAGAAGATGTTTGAGTCTGTCACTTGATGTTTCTCGTCTCCTTGCTGCTCGCATCAGTTGTAGGATCCTGAGACGCTGCACGGAATAGTTTCAGGTGTACCAGCTTTGTGTACCTCAAGCTATCCCTATGGACGGCGTCAGCTAAGCGACAGTGAACCACCGTAACCACGAGACATCACCGGATAGGCTGCAACCCCACCGCAGAACACCCAATAGAAAAAGTTTGGTACCTTACTATTTGGCGCTGTCACTAAAATTATGACCAATGAGCATTGTGGCTGCGTGCTGGCTGGGTCAGGGAGGGCGGGTACCTGGATCGAATTATCGGAAACGTGTGAATTGGTTTCAAGAATGTAGTCCCTTCCCGGCAAGGACGGACTTACTAAGTTTCTGGTCCGCGAATTGTATGCCTGACTCCAAATCCTGTCATCTTTAGGTTCGGGGTACTATCAATAGTAATTGAGAAACAAGGTTGGGTTCAAAGACAGGATTTTTTTGTCCTGGAACTTTGTCCAGTGGCAAGACAAACCTGAAACCAGATACTTCGTATGTGGGCTATTGGTTGCATTGGAAACTGGCAAACTGTAACAACCAGAACGGCAGCAGTCTTCCGATCTTAATGTTTAGAATTAGGACCTTGCTTAGCACTGTTGGTGTCTTGGAGGACGGCAATACTCGAGTGGGTGCTCCACTGATCGAATTCTTGTGGAATAGTTCTGTCGTCGTCGGGATCTGACTTCTTTTTTTTTTTTTTTTTCTTATTTCGTTTTCTTTCCCTTTTCTGCACCCAGTACCTCTATACGGACTAGAGTACGGAGTAATCGGTGCTACGTGTACATAATTATTGACGAGGATACCGCGAACTCCGAGTGTCCCCTGTTTCCGACGATGTCGTGCTTCTACGCACCAGATGAAGGAATTGGCCCGACCCGGTGTGGTACAGACTACAATGCACCACGTTGGGCGCTGGATTTGACTTGAACGTATTTCATCGTACTCCTTGGATTATCGACCTCCAGAGTTGTGATACTGATAACAACAAGACGGAGTCCAAGAATAGTCACTGTCTACCATTCGTATGTGAATGCAGGCTAGTTTCTCTAGTCGGAGTTACTATCGATACGGTGTACTATTATCAGAACTTCGGACGTAGCTGGCATAGTAGGACTAGTAGAGACTACCTTCGTACTAGGGCGATAGATACGGAGCCACCCCTCTACTTATGCGTCATAAAAAGCATTGGGCAGCAGATGCAGTTCCCGATGCAGGGGCCAAAACACATTCAAGATGGTGACTGGTTATTTGTTGCAACCCCCCCTACTCGAAGCGACCGCCATCCCGACATTTATCCTTTTCTTCCTGTGGTACGGTACGGGAAAGGCCAGAGCTCCAGGCCTAACATATGCAGCAACGGGTCATGAATCGAAGAATCGGAACGAGATCATAATAATAGCCGATACATCAGATCGCTGGTAGGAAAGGGATATCCCTGTGGACATTAAACATCAGTAACAGCAGACGATCGGAATCCAGCCTGCGATCTGCCAGCCGTCAATACTGAGGTACGAATGGGATGATGGGAATCCTTCGGTATGAACTGAGCCTCGGACTCCCGGCGTCTAGAAAGTAGAAAAAGGAAGGAGGAAAAGAAAATACATGACGGTTACCGTCACACTCTGGATGTACCTGCATGGAGAGAACAAAAGAACCTCCACTTACACTTAACCGTTCAGCAACTCCGTACCTGGTCTGTATCTGTAATAAAAGTCAGGAACAGGCGTGCCAGCCATCCCCACTAGGCCCCTTTAGGCAATTCACATCTCCTGACTGCGGTCGGTCAACCTCAGGCACACAAACTTTGTCCTTTGTCTAGACTCTCTCTTCCTCTGGGGCTCTCTCAGTCTCACTCACTCCACCCGTTTGTTTCCCTCGTCTCTCACTCGTTCTTCTTCCTCTCCTCTCTCCTTCTTCCTTCCCCAGTCATCTGTCAGCCTTCCTTTTTCCTTTCCCTCCCCTCTCTCTTTTCTTTACTCTTCACTCTTTTGTTTCTTCCATTCTTTCACTCTGTTGAGTCCACTCTTTTCACTTCCAACCTCTTTTATTGACTTTCCTGGTCGTTCGTTACACTCCTTTACGACGGCCTTGGAATCCGCTCTCTTCGTCCACATCCTCGGATTGTCATCTCCCTACGCTCCTTTATCGTGCTGACAATTCCATCGAAGATATCCGCCCTGTCGCGAAGATTTCAGGATTCCTTTGATCAATATAAGCTGCTAGTCCAGCTCTCCTTTTTTGACAGCCCCCATTTCTCGCCGTCCAGCTTGACGCTTCTGCGACGCGATCGACCGTACCATCCATCTAGGCTTCTGGTCTTGGAAACAATTCGGCCTTGATTCCCGATTACTCCCATACCGTTGCCTTTTCTTGAATCACCTTGAATCCTCTCGCGCTTGACGCTGCTTTGAGAGACTCGAAAGAAAACATCTTTGCCTCTCCATTTTTTTTTCTACCGTGTCGGCCGGATCGTCATATTTCTCCCTACCCTTCCCTTGAAGCAATTGGACAAATTGGTTATATCTCATTTCTCTCCAATCTATATACTTCGAGTTATACTCTGCAAACAATGTCTTCGACAGACACGTCTGACCCATCGACTATGTCGACATCCTCGACCGCAGCGAACACGACTTCGTCATCTTCGGCCGCTTCGACCCCTTCTCCCTCCAACTCCAGTGTTACCACGGCTCCTTCAACATCGGCATCGCGCCGGCCGCCCCGGAAGAGCACTCTGACCCAACAGCAGAAGAACAATAAGCGACAACGGGCAACCCAGGATCAGCTAGTCACTCTGGAACATGAGTTCAACAAGAACCCTACTCCCACGGCAGCCACGCGAGAGCGCATCGCTCAGGAGATCAACATGACCGAGCGTTCGGTTCAGATTTGGTTCCAGAACAGGTTGGTGGAAGATGGATCCGGCCTTTTCTGATTCTACGTACTAACCGCGACTACAGACGAGCCAAGATTAAGATGCTCGCGAAAAAGAGTATAGAAACCGGTGAAGGCTGTGATTCAATTCCCGAATCGATGAGACAGTATCTGGCGATGCAATTCGATCCTAGCAAAGCGGGTGCGAGAGACCCATTCGGGCGCACAGGTGCGTATGGAGCCAATGGTGCTTACCCGAACGAGTCCGCACCCTCAGGGAAAGTCGGTGAGTTCAACTAAATCATCTCGATTTGTGGCGATTGCTGATGTGGCCAAGTCATCCATCACTTCACCTGCCGTTCCCTGACCATCGGAAGCTGGCGGCGCATCGGGCAAAACGCAATGGACCTGGTTGTCTTCTACTCCCCCGAAAAAGCCTGCATGACATATTACATCAACAACGATTCTGCCGGATACAAAATCGAGTACCCCTTTTCCTACATCAAGAACATCACGCTCGAATCGGGTGATGCCAACGCCCAGTCCAACGGGGCTCCCACCAGGCCGGCTGGCCTCCTCGTGGAACTCAATCGTCCTCCGTTGTTCTACATGGATTCGTCTAACTCGGGTGGATTCTATCAATGCGGCGATTTTACGGAGGATCAGCAAGCGAGCCAGCTCCTGGTGCACCATTTGGGAGGTCATCCCAAGGTCCTTAGTGTCCAATTGGCCAAGTTGGTGTCGCTGGAGTCCTTCCAAAACCGTCTGGCGTACAGCAACCTTGCGATGGCACCGCCAATGTCGCCTCATTTCATCCAGCGCCCTGCCTCTCAACCAAACCAATTCGCGCCGGCATTCATGAACATGTATCAGGACCAGTCGACCCTGAACATTCCAGTCGCTCGCGGGCACAAGCGGCAAAGGAGTCGTTCCGTTCCGGTTGCTGTTGACTTCTCTGCCATGCAAATGTCTCACTTCCCGTCTTACAACATGTCCCAGACTCCGGCCCCATATCATAACGGGGACTCGGGTATCTTTGCGCCTGTCCCGCAATCGGCTCAACCGCTAGCCCTGAACCTGCGCATTGACACCTCCCCTTCGTATGGGTTCGATCCTCGGGTCATCCTATGTCTGCTACGACGACCGGCTCTCCTTCCGACTTTGCGAGCCCGTCCATCTTCGCTACCAGTGCGACCGGTGAGTCCACCCCAGTCGCTACGCACATGGGCCCTTCATTCAGCCTGCCTTTTGTGGCGCCTTCGGTGGATTCGTCCAGCATGGGACATGCAGCTCCTTCCTACTCGAATGTCAGCCATGCCGATCCTATGATCGCTGAACATTCGCCTCCCTTGTCGAACATGGCGCATACCCCGCAGGATATGTACACCCTGGGAACCGAGCAGCAGACCAATTTTGGAGACGATGGGATGGGTATGAATGAGATATTCGTCAAGCAGGGCATGGATTATTCTGTCCCCACCACCATGGGACTTGACGGTAACACATTCGACCTGCCCATGCAGACCTTGTCTGGCCAAACTTCGCCAGTCCTTGCAACCGACTATCAAAGCATGGAGGGTGTTGATCTCAACTCATTAGCTCCGGGATCATGAGCACCCTACCCCAGGTCGTTCTTTCATACCCTAACTGAAATGACTCGACTGTCGTCCTCTCCCACCTGCTAGTAACCCAAGCAACGAGGTGTCTATTCTTCTCAGGCCTCTATGAGTTTTACCAGGGTTGGCAATCTTCCCGATGCCCCTGGGACATTTGATGGGCTGTCAATATGACATTCCGGTAGGATGGCAGAAATGCTGTCTTCCTCAAACTGCAACTTGGCGTCTCTCGACCCTCGGTACAGGTGAACAAATGCTTATATCGTAACATTTCTCGATATCTGCTACCGATACTTTTCCCCCTTCTTTTTCATCTCTTCATTTTTCTCTTCTGTATTTATACCCTTCTATCTTGCGGCTGGTCCTGACGCCTTTTGACACATCGTGTCCTTGATGTTTTCCAACAATTTCTGTTGATTTTCTTCCCTACTATCCCTGTCCATTTTTACTTCTTGATTTCTTTTTTGACCATGGCCAGGGTCATTTAACGTGGTTATGCCAGGAAGTGAGCAAAATGGGCGATATCTGCTGGGAATTTTTACTTCATCGTTTTTGGTCTTCTCCGGGTCGGCGGGTCAGGAATTGTTTGCATTTTCTTTTTTTCTTTGTGATGGTGTGATTCTTTTGGGATTCTTGAGCTTGAGTCTCCTACTCACAATTGTTTCTTTGACTTTGATTCATCATTTTTCATCATTTCCGCATGTATGCGCTTGGTAGCTTGGCCGATACCTAGCCAGCTGTCACGCCAACCGCTGGAACCCTTTTCTTGAGAAATGTTGGGCAGGTGGCTGGTTGGTTGCCAGGAAGCGGCAGACAAGATCCTGCCTGTGTTTTAAGGTCAATCCACCTTAGGATCACAACCAAGAATGGCATGCATGTTGTGTACAGTGTCTGTTGACTTGGAGGCACGACGCCTCTCGAGTCTATCTACATATAGCTGGTATAAGCGGGTATCAAATGAATATAGTACAAGTGATGAGGGAGCTCCTCTACTGGCTCTCCCATCCCCTTGGCAGCGGCGCCTTCAATCCTCGAGATTCCCTCAGATATTTCTCGATCCAAATCTCCATTCTCTCGAGGATATTCATATTCGGCCTCCCCTTGTTCGGATCGACGCCTTCGTAGACCCCATCACGGCACCAGACGCTCCAAGAGCCCATCATGGCCGCCATCAACACATCCGTCCCCAACCGATCCCCGACAACCGCGATCTCATCCGCGCGCGTCACCACCCCGCGCTCCCGAAACCAGTCCACCACCTCCTTCCCACAAAACGGCTTCTTCTCGCTGCCCTCAGGCAATCGGAAGACAGGTATCCGCAGGGATGACAACCGCTCCTCGATCTCTCGCACCTCAGCGTCGAAGCGCGGATGGCTCCCTGCACGGTTGGAGACGATGAGTATCGAGTCTGGTGCTGTGGACTGGTTGAAGGGCGAGGTGGGCGATGTGCGCAGCGCGGAGAGCTTGTCTAGAATCTGGGGAGGGAAGGTGGTTGTCTTGGGTGGGCAGAGGGTGTTGTCTTTGTCGAGGACGAGGGCGCGGATGGTGGGTGATTTCGTTGCTACTGCTGGTTTTTTGCATGGGTTGGCGGCGCAGGGAGGTTGTCTGTGGAGATGCGGGCCGAGTTGTTCGGGGAGGTGGGTGAAGGTTGGGATTGTGAGGTGGGGGAGGAACTGCGAGGGGTTTCGGAGGAGGGTTTGTACTGCGTGGTTGAAGCCGCGGAGGTTGGTGTTTGGTGTGCTGGCCATTTTCCCTTTTTTTTGGTAGAGTTGAAGCTGGTTATGTTATACGGTGGATGAGCGAGTTGGAGGCAATTGAATGTTTTGGCCAAAAGCGGTGAGAGTAGAGAGCGAATGTGGCTGCAAGTTATCTGTTCATGATTGAGGAACGTATCGATGAAGATAGCCCATGTTATGTACGTGATGTTGTTTGATGAAGGTGAAGCTGAAGATGAAGATCTATGAGAGGTACGGAGAGAGTAACAGCAGAGCCGCACAACTAGGGAACTCTCCGCCTTGACTGGACCTCCGCTAGCTTCAACCCGCTCAACTCAGTCCATCCGGCGCCGCATTCTTTCTCTTCAACGGACTCGGATTTTGCTGTCTTACAGAACGGTCTCTCGAATCCTGGAATCAAAAATAAAAAGTCCCAATTTTGTGTCCCTTCCGCTCAATTCATTCTCGCGCCGACCGTCCAATTTTTTCGCGTGACTTTGCTCGAATCGATCCAATCCTTCAACATGGGTAAATTGACGAGCACCATCGGTATCCCCATCAAGCTCTTGAATGAAGCTCAGGTTCGCTTACTCTGACGCCTTACCAAGGATAATGGCCTCAAGCTAAATTTTGCAATCGCAGGGCCACGTCGTAACGTTGGAGATTACTTCGGGGGTGGTGTATCGAGGAAAGCTCTTGGAGGGTTCGTCTCGCGCGACGATCAGCCCGGTGGTTTCAAGATTATGCTGACTCTTTTGCCAGCTGAGGATAACATGAACGTTCAGCTCAAGGATATCACAGTCACCGCTCGTGATGGTCGCGTGTCGCACCTCGACCAGGTCTATATTCGCGGAAGCCACGTCAAGTTCTTCATTGTGCCGGATATGCTGAGGTATTTACACCGTCGGCCCTACTGGTCAACCGTCATATTGTGTTTACGTACTGACGTTTGCAGAAACGCACCCATGTTCCGTTCGCGCGGCCAGCGCGGTAGAGGTGTCGGTCTTGCTCGTGGTAAGGCGACGGTGCAGAGGGCTCGGGGACAACGGAGGGGTTGATCGTGTGGATTTTTTTCGTTGGCGTTTTCTTTCATGTGGTTTTCGTCATTCGTCGTTCCTAATGGTACCTTACTTATGTGGGATTGAAAAATGTGATTCCTTGAAGACCGGTTTCGGGGCGATACCCTGCGATAACAGATTTTCACATTTCCATTTCTGGGTTCTCTTACACAAGTGCAATTGTATGTCCAGCTGGAGGGAGGGTTGGACTCGTTGGAGCGCTGTGCAGCATGGCCTTGATTACCATTTGAACTGGACTGATCGTGGCGATTACCTGGCATTGCAACAAATAGAGCTTCTCAATACTGGCTAATGGTCTCAAATATGATTTGACTTCTCTCCAAACATGCCTGGTGTCCCTAGATCAATCCAACACCCCGAAATCTTCTCCGCCAAAAGTTCCCCGCAACAAACCACATTCTCCAATCCACATGGCAGCAGAGCAAGCAATACCAAGCACTTGAACAAGTCTACATAGACATAAGTCTCAGCAACAACCGTCCCATCCAGCGCACACCGACCCAACCCTCTACCGAAATGACCTCCGCACCCCACCCCAACTCCGCGAGCGCACCTCAAATCCGCAACCCACGCCGTCTCCTCATCCTCTCCCCAAGCTCCCACTCGACCTCGACCATCCCATCGCTCCTGCACTGCCTAACAGAAACCCCAGTCGCTGACCCCCCGGCCTCCTTCGCAGGGTACACCACCCACCCTCCCCTCCGCCTCACAAACAAGTACTACACCGCCGACATCCCGATATGGGTAGACGAGATCCCTCTCCAGACAGCGGTGGATGAACGCACACAAACAGAATCACAAACGCAAACACATACAGCGGGAGAAGGGAAAAGCGCACCCTCACCCGCGCAATGGGCAGTCGAGTTTTCAGGCGAAGACGCACGGGTTGTCCGCGACGCGATCGGGGCGCTGGTAATCTGTATCAAGAACCTAGAGGACACGAGCGCGAGTTTGCCTGCGGGTACGGGCACCACAGATGCAGGTACAGGTTCACCCGAGTCCCGAGACGACGTGAAAAGCCTCAAGGAGTTTCTTTCTGCGGTTGGGCGGGTCAAGGGTGTGATTGAGGAGGAGCGCGGGGAGGTCGGGGATGTCCCTGTGCTGCTGGTGTTGGTCGGAGGAGGGAAAGGACATAAAGATGGGCGAGTGCGCGGCGAGGACGACGATTTGGAGGAGTTGGATGGGGCGAGCGATGAGCCGTTTTCTGTTGGGTGGTGGGAGGATCAGCTGTTTGAGATGGGGATGGTGGGGGTGGAGGTGCTCGAGTGGGATCCGAAGGGGGAGGACGGGGAGGAGCGGAATGTCTACGGGGGTTTGTCTTCTTTTCCCCTTCCTCTGTGGATATTGTTGATGGAGTGTGAACTGATTGCTGTGGCAGAATACCAGGGAATGCGCCGCATCAGGGAGATCCTCGAGACGCATGACTGGGCCGAGCCATCTGAGGATGCGGATCCCGGTGGGTTTAGCGATGATGGTCTCGAGGAGCATCTTCTCGGACTGGATCGTGGGGAGAACGGATTCGATCTTGAAGTCAACGAGCTGGAACGCGAGATGCTAGGGTTGCGGATGGCGATTGAGCATGGGAGTGATGGCGGAGAGGATCAGGATGTGGATGAGGAAGACGACGACGGACTCAAGGTCGAGTCTTTGGAGGCTTTGATGATGCGGATGCAAGCTATCAGAGGTACGTCTATTCCAGGGAAAAGTACTTTCGAAAGCTAATAGAACAGATATGAGTTCCGAGTTACCGGAGAGTGAGCGCAAGAAATTTGCTGCCAAAGCTGTACGAGATATCATGAAAGAACTATAGATCCTTGTTACGATAATATAGAAATTCTAAGCTATAAAGAATATAGTATGGCCAAGTAGATGGCGTTCCATAACTGATTAAAATGGTAGATGTACATCATGACAGTCCGTCACATCCATGATCTTACAGCAGCCGTAAAGTCTGACACTTACTCGGCTCTTCCCTTCTTCTTCATAACCTTGCGCCTCTGTGCAATCATGTGCGTGTAGAGAATGTATGAGCCTGGAGAGAGTTAGCGACTGCTCGCGCATTGCCCAAGGAAACCAACATACCGGGCACATAGATGACAAGCACCACCACCAAGAACCACCAGTAAAGAGGGTTCCATTCTGCAGCGGGCTTGAGAGCCTGCCAAACCATGATGCACTCGCTGCTAATACCAATCGGATAGAGCACATAGAAGGTATTATACCTATCATCGTCAGCAAGCTCATATACACGAGACAGGGAAAAAATACCTCAACCAAGTCCACCAACTCGGGACACCACGGCCCCAAACCTGCAACGCAAAGAACCCATACCGAATACACTCGGTGACACCCCACGCCCCAGACATCCCAGGAACGCATAATCACCCACCTTGGCGCCAGGCCCATACGGCAATGACTCGTGGAAGTCTCCGCCGACGATGCCGCCGTGCCCGTCCCCGCGGTCGTGGAAGAGATACATCACGCCCCAGACCAGGAGGAGCCGGCTGGCGACCTGCATGGCGGTTGTCACGACGGGGGCGCGCACGATGCCCAGCAGACTGTGCAGGATCTCCAGGCCCGCGAGCGTCTGGGTCGTTGTGAGCAGCGGGAAGTAGATGTGGTGGAAGATGGCGGGGAGGTGGCCGGTGGGCGCGAGCGAGAGGACTAGCATTGCGCCGCGGACGACGCAGGTGGCCCAGAGACAGAAGCTGACGACATTGTAGGCGAGGAGGTAGACGCGAGTAAGGCCGGAGGCTGAGGCCTTGGGAGCCGATGAGGCTCTTGTGGTGGACTGGGACATTGTCGCGTACTCCTTTTTGCGTGTCAGTAGATGTGCTGTTTACTATGTTTACTAGGGCCGCCGGGGAAGTAAAACTGGTAAGATTCAAAAGGGGCAGATATTCAGCAGAGCTAAAACTCACGAATTATGATAATTTGACTTGTCAATTGGCTGGTGGACGTGACACCGGAGCTTGTGAAGGTGGTTATTTTTGTTGATTTGATGGGAAGATAGTTGGTGATTATGTAATCAACTCTGATCAGATCGATCCTCGGCTGTAGCAACCTAGATAGAACTCATCATATTGATGCACACTGTGTGCGATTTCTTCAATATATGATGTTCAACATCATCGACCTATCTTGACACAAAGCATGTCATGTTGCTCCTGAACAATGGCAGCAGATAATGAGGTCCCCTTAAGCAGAGACATGGATTGCTTAATGGAAAGTCTGATATTAGCGTAGAGGTTGCAGCCAGTGACCGTCTGAGCTCTGCGCGCCATAACAGTCGGTATTTACTCATTTAAGCCTAGATATCTTCATATGTTGAACCATATCAAAAGATACCAGTGTGGACACCGCTTTCATGTTGACGCTGAGAACAGACGAAGAATTTTTTTGACTTTTATCATCCGACAAAGTTTTCGGGCCATGCGGTCTGATGTCATATAAACAAAGCAGTGTAAGTGGTGAGGTGTATGAGTACCGAGTGTACGCCGAAATGATAACAGTTACTGATATGCTGTTTCTGCTTCTCGGATCAGATCCGCGATGATTTCGCTGTCTATCAATAATATTGTTGGCAGAGCTCTATGCATATGTCAGACGGTATTCGGATCAGTTGATCAGTTGATGTGGAGATGTTGAGACACATAACAGCAGTATGCTAAGGTAGTCACGCCGATCAGCGTGTCCACACTGTCGTCAATAGTCGTAGAATGTCCTACTCCGTACACCGAGTATCTAGATAATACTAAATGCCCGAGGCAGTAGGTAGGAAGAGTCATCCGTCTTCCACTCCCGGCTGACCCATTCTCCACTTACTTGAGATTTCCAGTGTCTCTGATAGTCAACCCATCCCTATTTCCATTATCATTCATATCTTCATAATAATAGTGAATAGATATATGCTGTTGCTGTAGGATAAGCCATTTGGCCCCTCTTCATACTTCCAGCCGAGAGGGCCCGAGCTTCAGTAAGAACCGACGTCATAGGGGAGCCAAAGTTCCCGAATTGGCCGTTTGTCTTCTCCAAAGTTCGGATCAGATCCACTGTGATGTCATTTTTTTCTGCTTTCCCAAATATGATTGGCTGGAAATCACAGCCATGCTCGAACTGACCAACAGCGGTCAAGTTCATCACCCTCGAATGTCGAAAATGGCTGAAGCCACAATGGAGAGAGAAAATGTCAGGTTCCTTGTCGCGCTCGACTTGGGAGGAGATATAAAGCCACATAATGCCTCTCGACTAAACTGGCGAAGGAAAGCAGAGAGATGGTGCGAGAGTGCTAGGTAACTCAATCAGGAGCCTCAAGTGCCTCATCTTTGTCTGGAGTCGATGCGAAGCCCACCAAGGCTGTAAAATGGCACCGACACTGGTCGCTTCACTCGCTTGGGTATCCCACTTGGACGGGTTATCCGTTTCTGTTTTAGTCTGTCAAACCCCGCTGGCTTCCCTTTGGCAAGAACACAGGTAGGGTGAGCACCAAGAAATTGCAGGGCGAATTGGCGAGTCCTTGTCGTTCTTTGGGCTTCTTCTTACTCTGGATGTTTGCTTGTCCGGTACGTACTTTCCAGACGTCCACTATATCTGGGACGGTTCCTGAGGGCCCAGAACAGCCCATGGCCTGAGATGGTGTCGGTTGTGATGTCAGACTGCCGAGAAAGACGGATTCCGTTGGATGCGAACTCATTCGGAAAGGGCTCACTCGTCACTGAACTAACGGATCGTCAGAAAGTAGCATGTTGATGTCTGAGATACTATGACAGCCTGGCCAGGGTCGGGGGAACGAGGACTTGGGAGGAATTTGACGATGATGTCGCAGTGGATCGAACCTCCCCCTGCCAGTGAACCTAACACGACCCTAGCGCCAATGAGAGGCTGACTAGCTGACACCCTACGTCAGTCTGTAGTGCGATGATTTCAACGTGCATCTCCAGTGAGAAAGTGGGGATGAAATTGAAATCTGAGAGACGACTTCGGATGAAAATTTATCTTTAGATTCTTAAAAGGCTATTGATGAGGCTACCCAGGGATTCAACTGCTGGTGGAGATTGCATACTCACGAGGTCATAAAATGACGCCAGATGAAGCTAAGTAGATTCTCGAGTCCTCGTCTTCAACCATGATGCGTGACGATGGATGGAGGGATACGGAGCATGAGAGGAATTGACTATTCCTTTTGTCTCTTGACGCTGTCGGTTGACCCCATTTATTAGCCTTTTTGGATTATCCTCCCGACAGTAGGTATTATTTTTATTATTATCGAAATAGCTTCGTTTTTATTATTCCTCTACCAGAATGCAACTGCTCGAGTCTTGAGGGTATTCACAGCTAAAGAAGTTCCTCCTTCCTATGTTTCGGACATTCCGGTAAGTTTTCTGAAATCGTCCCTGTCAATAGCTCATTACCAAGACACGAGCCTCTCTGGCTGCAACTGTCAATCGAACATAGTTATCGCTGATCCCAAGGGCCCAGTCTATCTCGTCTTGTCCCCGCCGCTCACCAAAAAGAAAAAAAATAGCCCGCCCACATTTTTACCCCTCCACACAACTCTCTTGTAGTCTCCTCTTTGAGTCTTGACCTCTCCGAGCGCGCCAAACAGAAGGGATTAAACGGAAGGGAAAAGGGAGAAAAAGGAATTATCAAAAATATCACGGATAGTTTGTTGAAGGTAAAAGAAACACAGTCACGCTTTCCCCTTGTCCAGTCAAACAATCAGCCACATTCCACTTTGGCTGTTTGCGCTCTTGCTTTTCCTTGCGCTCTGATTCCTCACTTTATCCTTATTTGGGTTTCTTTTTCCTTTTGCGCACTGTCGAATCTCTAATCTGCAATACTTTTTTCTCGGCTTCTGCTACGGTGACTGACTCCTCAGTGGGTGGTTTGGTAGCAAATCATATACTCTCTAGATTGCAGACAGATCTCTTTGACCATCACTGTCTGTCATCAGCATCAACAGCATCACCATCATCTACTACCGTCTACTACTACAACAATAATAATAGCAATACAAGGTGGGATTCCCCAATACTTACGACCCCTCCTCTTCCTCGTCCTCCCATCCTCTGCGCCTCCCCTGTCCTATCATCAATCAGTTTTCTCAGTCCAGACAGCTGTACTGCTTTTCTTTCGTTTCCTTTGTCAGCTACTATGATCTATCCCTCTCAACCATGTGGACCCCTTCCCCTTTAAGCTCCGTCTAGGTTGTCTGTGTGGTTCGGTTTCGGGTCATCCCTCGTCCCCTCCTGCTGCTGTGCTGCTCCTCGTCATGTCCCAAAATGCCTGTTAATCTAATACTTCCGCCCCATACATCCCTCCCTTTCTGTCGGTCTCCCCCAAGCCTCTTCTATCCGCATTAATACCGGATGTTCCTCCTGTGACTCCTTAAACCAACCTCCGATCCCTGAGACCACCGCCTGTCGTGGCGGCCTGTTAAGCTACTTTTGTCCCTGAAGCCTTTGTGCTCGATTGGTTCCACCTTGGAAAGAACCCCGCTACATCCTGTGGCCTCTGCAACCAACAGGAAGGAAACGTACCGGAGGTGATTCTCCCTGATTCCCTACCCCTCGTCCATCAGCCCCCATCATGTTAAGCCTCCTGACAACCCTCCCCTGTTGTTTGTATATCTCTTCCCTCCCGGCTGTCTGGACTGTCATAGCCCTCCGATCCAGTAACCCTTCTCACTGCGTAGGGCGGCTACCCGTGGCGGTCGAGTCTCAAGCGCTGAGCGCCTGTCGCTTGAAATTGCCGTAATCTCGCCCTGGAACTCGAGACGCATGAAACAACTGACTTGGCGCTTGAACTAACCGTTTTGCACCGTGTAGATCGAATCTGTATCCAAGATCGTTGGCCACGGTTTGCTTTTCCAGCTTTGAAGAGCCACATACGCCACGAAGAGGAGAAAGGTACAGCAAAGCGTCAACCTTATCGAGTCTTTCTTGATCCATCTTTCGCTCACTTGCTGGAGAAACAGCGCTAAGCATCACATACATACTCATAAACATGGCTCCTACAACCACTACCAAGACCAAGGCCGTTGAGGAATCTGTACGTTGCTGCCACTGACCATCGTAACTGCTGTTGAGTGGACACTGACATCTCGACAGTCCCAGCCCAAGGAGACTGCTCCTCCCAAGAAGCTCTCAGAGATGAGCGATGTCATCGACAAGGACACTTTCGACCAGATCTTGGAGATGGACGACGATGAAGACATGGATTTCAGCAAGGGCATCGTGTATGGATTCTTCGATCAAGCCGAAGCCACGTTCGACAAGATGGACAAGGCTTTGTAAGTGCTCGTTGCTCCATGTTGACCCTCCAGTTGGACTGACATTCAACATCACAGAGAGGACAAGAACCTAGATGAGCTTTCTTCGCTTGGACATTTCCTAAAAGGATCGTCAGCGACTCTGGGGTTGAAGAAGGTCAAAGATCACTGCGAAAAGATCCAGCATTACGGTGCTGGTAAAGATGAGACCGGCACTGTCGACGAACCTGATGAGGAGAAATCGCTGAAGCACATCCAGGAAACCCTGGCTGAAGTCAAGAAGGACTATAAAGAAGTAGCGCAGTTCCTCCGCAGCTATTACGGCGAGACAAAGTCTCCCGAGGTCACCTCGCCCTCCTCTAAGTAGTGATTGACCAAGGGGAAGAGCTTGCACATAGAGAGCAGCGGCGGAACGAGCATGGGAAGGATGTGCTTCTGAATATACCACACGACAGGTTGAGATCCTACGCACATATACACACAATCACTCTTCACTTCAGTCCACATACCCACGAACAATCCCAGTCTCAAGAAGAATGAAGAGCAAAAGCAACAGATAATTTCCACGACTACCTTTCAGTATCAATCTTTGGATTACTTAAATGATGTTCAGCGCTTAGCAAATGGGGTTTTGTATGAACCATCATTCATAGGTATGCAAGATTAGACTTCATCTGTTTTATCAGACATTGCTTCTCCTTGCCCAAGCCAATGCCTATACTACGCGGTAGGCAGGCAGCATGCAACATCTAACTTCTGTTTGCTAGACAGATAGAATAGCAGCAGAAAAATTCAGGAATATGAGTAATGTGCAACATGTCATCCTGCGTGCGGCCACCAGACAGTCACAAGCAGCTGTCTAACACAGTCCTGCCCCGTACCACAGTCCGGTAGCCTCACCCGTCACCTCTTAATTATATTCAGAGTATGCAAAGGCCCAGCGCAGACTTGCACAACGTTCAGCCCCTGCACCAAGCAAACCACGCCAGCTTCGAGAGGGTTCCATCATAGCCAGATGAAGATTGGACGCCTTGTCTTCTGTTGGCTTTTATTCTCTAGTAGTCTCGGAAACAATCCAACTGCCATACAAACACACATCCGCATCCGCACTGCCCTCGGATAGATGTACGGAGTACCTACCCACCATCCGATCCGAACCAACAATGCCAGAGACACGCCACTACAACTCCACCAACTCATCCTATCTCAGTCTACCTCCGGTACAAAGCATTCATTGGATTTTTGCCGTCTATGTAGAACGGAGTATCAAAGGGGAAAGGGAGGGAAGGACCTTGAGAACGCGGGTAGCTTAGTCTAGGGGCGAGGGTTACACAGCAGGCGGATGGGCGTGGGACAGGCAATTCTGCACATTTGCGAATCACCTTAACCAAATCCTCTCTGCAATGAATTTTGTTTCTGTTCTGACGTTATTGGAGCATAGGTTGGGATATTTGCAGTTGAGTGTAGTGCCTTCCTCGCCTCTGAGATGGACCCTGAGAAATGAAAGTGCGGTAGCAGTCCAGGGAAATGAGGACAGGAGATGTCTAAAGTACGAGTACAGTACGAGCACAGTGCGGTATACCGGCATATGTGCAGCCAAGCAAACCGATCCGGGGTCGTGTGCGCTTCATCAAACGGTCTGCTTGTCTGGTATCTGGAGTTGGATTGGTCCGGATGTTTAAAGTCAATCGGAGTGGTTGGATACTATATTCATCTTCAATCTAGTACAGGTATAGTTGTGGCATTCATGAACTCCGTCTGGAGCATGCTTATATCAAGTAATAGCAGAAGATGGACAAGACTGTAGAGAAAGTATCGTCAAGCACCACACCCACTAGCCAGGTCCACAGAGAAAAAAACGGACGGATACCTACAGCCCTGCCAACCGCCGGACACCTCAATCGCCGGCTCATCGACAATCGACAACGGCCGTGCAGATATCTGCATGCACCAAATGAAATTCATTTCCGTGTCCTCGTTGCCAATCACAGCCCGTCCGAGCTCGCGGCCGATTGTCGCAGGCAGTCGGACTGTCATGTAGACTTCGAGGCTGGGAGTGATGGATGGATGGATGGATGGGATGGCAGACAGGCGCTGTGTGCTACGTTCCTTTTTTTAAACTACGATGGTTCCCCGGTCCTCAGTCATCAGGAGCCAATTCATGCTTGCCTCATTCTGCTCTCCCCGTGGTATAAGTTCGTGTCTGCTTTTGCTTCACGTCTAAAGGCTGTTATCTATACCTGCTACTGCACTAGCTAATCTTCGGGATGCCGGCCGTTGGACCCCGTGTGTCAAAGGAGGAGTTTATGCAGGCGCTGGGGCTGAACTCGCATGATCCCCAGCATGAGCAGTACTATCGAGCTATGAGGGTATGTTCTCCATATGTCTATGTGCAGGTGCAAGAATGTATTGTACAGTATGCTGAGTATGTACAGGATGAAGCCATCGTCGTATACAACCGCATGAACCAAGATACCTCGGATCTGCTGGACAGCGTCAGAAACGACCCCAACACCCGACCGCCCTTTTTCTGGCATCATATCCGTCCGGAGAGACAGCGATGGGGTATCATGGAGATCTCGCGGAACGCCGGGCCCCTGACGCGGCCGCTGTTCGAGCGCGGAAACACCACGGGCGAGTACGGTCCCAACTGGGTGGCCGGCTGGTTGCTGTACAGCGTGTTTCGGTCGAGAGATGTTCGTAATAACCGTAATCGGCGGAAGGGTGACGATCATGGTAGGTTGTCCAAGAAACAGTATCGATGCATCGCTGACAGCGCCCAGGCCAGGATCCAAAAAGGGATAAGCAGACGGCACAATCGGACAGTGGACTGACAAAGAAGACGTATTATGACCCGGTGAGGAATGGATGATGCGGGTGTTTTAACGTTTAACGAGGCAACAGTGCTGGCTTGAGCTTTCCAACTTCCTTCTTTTGTATAGACGACCCTTTCATCGCTGTCATTTTTCACATAATTAATGAATCAATCATCGTCTCTGTCGTCCTTTGGCCGCTCTTCTTTCTGAGATCCGTTCTTGAGTCTTCTCTCCTTCTTCAATGCCTCGGTAACGCGGTCGTCCTGCTCGTCCTTTCGCTCGTCCCAATCGACGTCGTATTCAGCCGCGATGTTTTTGATCTCCCTGCGTATCGCATTGGCTTCATCAATGAGTGACTCCCACACCTGAAGGTCAATCCCTTTCATCTGGTAGAGTTTCTTTTGCCGCGCATTGATTGTAAAATCAAGCGCTGAACGATAGGAAATCTCGCGGTTGTGATACAGGAACCAAAGGTAGCCACCCATCAAAGTGGACAAGCTGACCAGATAGGTCACCGGTTCCATCGTATCCCACCCCAGGTCCGTCTCAAAGGTCAGTTTGTACACAATGTACCACCAAAAGGCGAGAATGCCAAACCCGCCAAGGGCCACCCGTTGAGCACCCCGATGCGCCAGCGCGTCACACTCATGCTTGATTTCTGCAAGACCCTGGATTCTGCGAGAGATCTTCCGTAGCCTCATCCGCAGAAAATACGTCCTCTCATCGAAAGAAGGTACGGCAACGTGAATCTGTTCCAGCCCGGCCGGGGCACCTTCAATCGTCACGATAAACTCTTTGGCCCGCGCGGCATCCCGGATAAAGTCTCCAATCTCGGTGGACTGCGACCACCGGATGAAGCGCTGCTCCTTGTCGCCCTGTCCGGGCCCTGGCCGTCGCAGATAGCTGAATGTTTCGTCCACCTCCTGGAAGTCTTCCCCTCGTTTTGCCACTGTCGCGTCATCCTTTCCTCCTTCGACTCTGTGAATTTCAGCATCGGTACCTTCGTACATACCCCGTTTCGGTCTGATGGCGTCCTGTTCAAGCTGGAGCGCGATGAACGACACTGCAGGTGGTCTCTTCTGACCGTTCTCGTCTTCGATTGGGGTACCTCGGACTGGATTAAACGTTCTAGATGAGATAGGGGCTGCTGCGGGTGGATCAGGATGGCGATCTGCTCAATGTCTTGAAATTGTCAGCTACAGCCAGATCGCCGCACCTACAGATAACATACCTCTGCGGTTGATGGTCGTCAATGGAATGAGAAGCTTAAACAACCTCGACGGTGTCGTCAACAGCTTGCCTGCAATCGTATCGCCCTTCGTCATCGCCTTCGCAACTTTCCCCCCAGACTTTGTATCTTGGCCCGACTCGTTCTTCCCGGCTTCATGCTGCTGCTGCACCTTTTTGACCTCAAGCCTCTCCAGGGGATCCGGCTCGGCCGTTTGTGGCTCTCGCTTATCTCTGTTTCTGGCACTCAATTGGAAACTCCGTCGACCCGTCTGTGTCACGCGACTCAACGTCGACACTCCTATGTATCGGATTCGGAATGATCTCGACGGCAAGGGCTGAGGTAATCGGTCAAGGATATTCAAACTATTATATTGGATTGAAGCACACTGACTTCCCAGCGTTGCAGACCGCAATGCAGCCGCAATGGGTGTGCGGCTAACAAGCGCCCGCATCTTAAATAGTGTCTCAGCTGAGAACCATGTGAAAGTACTCTGTAGCTTTACCGAGAAAATCAGCGAGATCTATGCAATTATTGGAGAAAGGAATGACCATTGTTGAGAAGAGGACTTTATCTCAGATTCTCCATCTTCTAATATGTTGTTGGAGAGATCAATTGCTGATAAACAGGTCATTGAGCTGAGGCGGTGCCTTGGAACGTATATGGATACGTCATGATGCCTAAGCGGATAAGCAAACAGTGCAAACATATCAAGCTTCTAGATTCATGCCTCAGGTTTACCACCGTCTTTGAAACATCAGTACAAGGATTCTAATTGCCAGGTAGACCAGGAGTCATCTTAAGAAACTGCAATATTGCTTCGATTGAACGATAATAGAAAAGAGACATCCACCTCAAGCACTGCTGGCCACCACATGCAAAAAAAAGAAATAAAGGACAATGCTCAACACAAATTCCAGTAACTCAGTCAGCCAGCCGAATCATCATCTATAAAGGGAAAAACTACATATCATCGTTTGCATGAAAGTCACTCTGGCAAAAGGCGCTTCAATCTATTAGGATATTTCAAGGCATGTCATCAATCGTAACGTCGTAAGGTTGATTTTTTTTTTCCTTTGCCTTTCCTTGTTTGAGTTGGTTGATCTTCCAATCCCTCACTGTTAGCCTCCGTCAGTCGAATTGCCTGGCATTATCGTGCCCGGCTGCTAAAGGCGAGTGTCCTGGCTGGGCCCAGAGTCTGTCGGTAGAGACTGAGCCGGCTCCCCTCATGGCTTTCTGGGCTACTCCCACCGCTCCTGCTCCCTCCACTCGTCGAGGTATCAGCATCGTCAAGGTAGCGGCTCTTCCGGCCCGTACCAATAGCCACCGGGATCCCCTGTACGATACCCCCGTGGTCATGGCCCGCCGGATACATGCCGTCGTTGACGGAGAAGTTCCGACAGATCAAGTACGCCCGCATGGCCGCATTCTCACGGGCGAGTGTCTCGGATTCGCACACGGAATCTGTTTGGTATTCGCGGTTGTTGACGCGCACAATGCAGGAGTATCCGCCTGTACCTGCGTAGGACTCGTATTGAGGTTCTGGCCAGCGGCGGCGTCGACAAAGACCTGTTTCGCATGGTTATTGGTCTGCTCAAAACGGAAGATCAAGTCTAGTGTGTAGAGGATGGAAAGAAACCCGCTGTGGTAGTCAGGGATCAACGACAAATCAGAATGATGCGAGATAAAGCGGTTCATGTGGTCTTCCAGTGAAACCGATTGCAACTTGCAAGGTCCTTGAAGGAAGCGATATTCAAACAGTGCCAAGCCCAATCAAAGGACAGAGGTTTCGCGTATACAACAATCGGCAGGGCGCCGATAAGAGCAGATGGGGTGACATACTCGCAAGATAGAGAATATAGTACATCGCGTATACAGATAGCGGCCAATAAAATGTATGGGACGGAGCGGTATCGGTCTAGTATTCGCTGCCCTGGCTATGTTGACCCTGTGCGGCAACCTAGCAATCAATCCAGAGGCATTCAACAAGCCTCTTGGGAGAGATGTTTGTTGCTGCCCAATGCCCACGTTGTTCACACAAATTATGCGATTTGCTAGCAGGGATGGATCAAAAGTCCTCTGCAGCGAGTCAATCGGCGTCGAGGATGCTTAGTATAGATCACTGGGGACAAAGAGGGTCAACAAAACGTGAGCACATTGGAATTAGCCGCCGAAGGAAGACAGCAACATGGTAGACGGCTTCAATGATGATAATGAGCGATCGAAAAAGAAAAGAAGGACGACGACCATCGGGCTAGGTATAATCGGCTCAAATAAACAGGTGGGGCTCCAGAAGCAGACGTCAAGTCCTATGTCCAAAGGCAGAAGGGGTCAGAGGTTTCCAAGCGAAATTAACAAATTTTAGGAATGCCCTTTGTTCCACCATATTGGCTGGACTAGGAAGGTCGAATGTCGGTTTAATCATGATTGCACTAAGGATCTTTCGTGTGTGTTTTCTCCTTTGTTTTCTCTCAATTCCGAGTCGCGAGCCATATTGGACCGTTGATGCGTTGGCATGGCTTTCGACCAGTGATTAAGCTTGGGAAAATGGAGCTTCCTGGTCCATCCGCCACGGTGTTATTCGCCGCCGATCCATGCGGCAAAGATTGGCATGTCGCGCAGCATAACAATCTCCGAGCAAATCGTGGTGTCAATCTGCCATCGCTGCGCTGTTGCAGAATGAACGCCCAGCCATTTGAGCGGAGGCCATGTTTAATCGGATTTTTCTGGCGCCTTTTTCGCTTCAGCGCTGATGCACAGTTGTGCGAAGGGGATCCCATAAAACCCCGCAGCAAAAGAAGAATGCAGGACATTTACTACTGTCCTCATGTTCAAGACATTGGATCGCATCAGCGCGTTTAATGAAAGGCGTTGTAGAAAACCACTAATGCGCTTTCGTTCGTAACAAGATGCATGCCACGCAGGACGGCAGGTATCCCAATTCTAGCTCGAACCTAGAAGAATGAGAGATAAAATGATTATATAGCCGTTACTACAGTGTATCAGAAGCGGACTGAAGGTTTTTGTCCGCAAGACACTAGTCGGAAGGAGACTTGCAAACGCTGTAAAGAGGCGTTAAGCTGCGAAAGAACTCTGATCCCACGCCACAATGGCGAGAGTAAGTCATGACGGTTCGGCTAGTGTCCCGGGCAGGACTCCCCTTCCAATATCGACCGTTTTCTCGGGATAATGCTTTCACTGTCCTTAGACTCAGAGCAGCCTCAAACTCGATCGGAGCTAAGGAGGCGAGGAAAGGAGGGGCACACGAGCTCCAACCCTGGGTGGAAGAGCAAAACGGGATGAGAGGCGCCGGTCTGCCAGTCTGATAGTGGTGGTCGTCATAATGTGCCATGCAGAATTAGACGAATGCAATAGGTCAGTCCTGGAATTTCGACGGACGATATTGGCCCAACATCTGTGTTGTGACAGGCAGGCATCGGATGCAATGATGAGTTGGCAAGTTCTCACTTAGGTGAGGTGGGGAATCCATGCGACTTTTCCTTGCACGAGCAATCGCTTCTGATGGCAAGGAGAAGCAGATAGAACACGCAACTTTGATGAAGATTGCAAATGCCGCTGCATAGCATTCCACAGAAGTATACATCATAATCGGGAGGAAATCCTGATGGTACTAAATCGAGTAGACACAATCAACATCGATGCTGACGACCCAGTTGTGGACGTAATGCAGGATGACTGTCGAGGATGCCAAACTTACTTTCACTGCCGGTGCATGGCGCAAGTCTGCCTTCTTCTCCCATACAGGCGCTCGGACGAGTCTTCAAGTAACGAATAGAGTATGAGCAATCTGACATGTCCGTAAATTCTTCACCCCAGACGCCGAGAATGGGAGCTAGGCCAGGGGCAGAATGGCTCATGCAGTCTCATTTCCTCGAAATGCTGCTAATGATGAAAAGTTGATAAACTAGGTAACTTGAGAGATGGAAAGGAGAAGGGGCGGCTAAGCAAGCGGCAAGTCATGAGGAGGAAAACAGGCCTTGCTGCCTCAGTCACAATATCCGCTGAAAGAAACTAGTGAGTGATGGAAGGATGTCAAGGCTATCAACCTCATGTTCCCAACGACCTCGATCCCCATGCAAGCGATCTATCGATGCTTCTCAACCTTCCGGTATGTCAAACTCTACCTGATCCCTGAAACCATCAAGTCCCCTGCCTCATGAATGTCAAGGAAGGGACTGTGCAGACTGCGACTGCACTCCACAATCCTTAGCTTAGTCGCCTTCTATCCCTTGCTTCTAAATCACCAGCTTCACGTCGCTGGTCAGCCACTCCTTGACGACGCTGAGCGCACGTTGGAATTGATAATGTGCGAACCATGTGACATGGTAAGCATAGCCCGTAAATTTGCTCTTAGTGTAACTTGAATTTGAACGAGTTACATCTACATCCCGACTCTGTCAGGGTGCAGTGCACACGCTGCTACCAGCTTCATTTGTTCGCTTTCTCGAACCTTTCCAACACCCCAGCCCTTACTCCTTACTTTTCTCGGGCTAGTCTACAGGTCGAAAGATTGATTTTCGAACCAGACACGTATACCTTCGGCTGACTTGTGTGGAATGACAAAAATGGGATGGAAAGGAACGAGTCGATCATTCTCAGTGAATACACCAATGTCGGATCCTTGATCATCCGAGGCGAGGTTAGGGTCGTGCTTCCAAGAGAATGCAGAGCTGAAGTCATCCTTCGAGCTCGCACTTGAGTCAGTACAGTAATGGTGATATTGAACCGTGCTGAGCCCGGAGAGGGCATAACATGTATGGTATGAATCCGGGTGTCTGTAGACAGTCAGCCTATGCACATTTACTGCGAATGTTGCGGTCATGAATTGACATACTTTCCCGGTTTGTCTCGAAGGCCGCCAAGCTTGCACTGGCAACAAGAAAGGATATATCTTGTCAATCCCTCTCGACTGTAAAGATTGCCGACGGAAGCTCGCTTAGGGTCTGCCGCTGACTGAGTGCCATCTAGCGCAGCCTGGACGAGGGGCCAGCAATTTCCTACCCAGTGGCTGTAACACCCGTCCACCAATTTATTGGTTCTGCCGGAGAAACCTCCCTCGGGTGCATATTGTCGAGCCGAGAGCCAGGGAAGGAGCGTTGCAACATTCATATATCTAATACACTCAGCAAGGGTAGAAAGATGATCTGTGGATGCGGATCCTTACCTTGGCACAACCACTTCAGGCCGACCAAGGAGACAAAGACAGGCCAAAGCACAAAAGGCATAAGCGCCATGCGCCTCAGTGCCCGGACTCCCGGAGATACCACCTTCATAGGTCTGACCTGCAATTTCACTGTCAATAACAACCAGGAAGCGCAGCAAAGGACGCCACTTACATCGCGAAAGATATTCAGGAAGGCCATCCGTGAATGTCTCCAACCCATTCTGCCGAGCTTCGGCTTCCGGGGCAATTCTAGTGGCAAATCGAGGAGAGCATGGACTACCATCGCGCAGTAGGCGCCTCTGAGCTGGCGACTCAGTGAAATGCTACATATGCAGGGAAAGGTTGATGGGGAAATGTTACCGCACGTCCTCTTCTCCACCCTCACAGACGGTAAAGCCGCCATCAGGCTGCTTCAATTTTCCGAGCCATTTCCACCTCAAGAAGGTTAGCGATGACTTGCTGGTAGGGGTGCCTCATCACAACTCACATTGCCTTTCGATCAATCAATTTGAATGCCTCTTCACCACCAACCATGGCGATAGACAGCACCGCAGCATAGCTCGATGCAACATGCGACATCTGGCCATGCCCTCCTCCAATCCCACCAGTGGGATTCTGCGCAGCAGTGAATGTGGAGATGACGCTGGCAATAATTAGTCGAGATTCATGTCGGACAGGGAGCACGACTGCATAATTTAGGGGCAAGCTTACCGTTCGCGAAATCGAGTCACATCTTCTCCTAGAAGGCATAGCCCTGCCAAGGCCCAGTAAACCATCCAAGGGCGACTAGCATCGAGCGCGACAAAGGAGGCGGGATAGTCCTCCAGTGAGTCGTAAAGATACTCAATGTGGTCTTTGCGTTGGAGAGCGGGACTCCATACTTGTTAAAGGGACCTTTTTGGCTGTTGTGGATTCCCTTCAGCAATGGCAGGCATTTGTTGACTGTTTCGCTTTGAAGACCAGTGGTCTCTGTGGAGAGTGAGTCGTGGATCAGAGGCGGCTCCCTGAAGAGCGCTGGAATTCCGGGATGGACTTGGCTTTCCCCCATCTTTCCGCTCTGGAGGGACGATGAATGGTTGTGGGAACTGGTGGCCGCTGGGGAGCGACTATTGACCTGCAAGTTTGCGCTGAAGTTTCGACCTTTTGGTTTTCCTGCGGTCACGGATGGTCCTTGACTGGTCGAAGAGAAAAGGACTTTGCGACGGTGTTTCCCAGTCGCTGCGATAACAGGCATAGAATATCTAGGATGGTAATCAAGGTTTCCGATCATACACTCATTTATACACGCGAGTAGAGCAATTTTGCAATTTTCTTTGCGATGTTGCTATATCCTAATCATTGTTCTTTTCCTCGTCAATGGAAATTTTGCCATCATCAGTCCATTGTTCTTCCGTCAAGTCAGGTGGTGGGCCTCGACCCCTCCTAACAAGCGGGTACAAACAAATTCCAAAGCGGAAGAATTGACCTTTTTTTGTTCGCCTCCAGCAAGAACAGATGGGGATCAAGGTCGACGTCTCTTTGTCTTACATTTAGAAGATTAACTCAATCAACCTCAAACTGGAATAATCATCCAGTCAATCTATCCGTTGCTTTGTTGCTCCCTAGCCGGGAAGATCCCGTTCTCCGCCTCTGCTTTCTTTTTCTTCCTGGGTCCTGCCAGTGCTGATCCCCGAATGGATCTTCTTCCAGCCTTTTAAATTTCAAGTCCTTGACCTCTCAAGGTCAAGTCTTACAAATTACTCGACAACCTTTAATACCATCATGTCTTGGTGAAGGGGCAGATAGGACCGTTGTGCTGCCTCCCTTGGTAGCGAATGTCAGCCCCCAAATTAGCGATGCACAAAGACACCTAAGGAAAGTCTGTAAGAGATATATAATCGTCGAGGACATCAAGAAATCAGCGAGAAAAGCGCCGCATTCCTGCCGAGGACAACGTGATCACCCTGTATACTCCGTCAGAGCCTTCCTTGTCTTAGCACGAATGCGCATTGGTTCTTCTTCTAACCCAACCAACAACCTTTGAGGCTAGCATAAGCAATAGCAGTCGGTTCAAAACTAGCATGCATGTGGACTATTCCTAGCGATTGTTCAACCCTTTTCCAAGATGCCAGACAACAATCATGATCGAAAACTCTATTTCTCGGATTAGTGATTTAAGAGAGTAATTACTAACGACGTCGCAACGTCATCAACGCCCCGGGTCGTCCCTCAGCAAGAGCAGTGCCATGAAACAAGACTGCAACTGTATGTTCTGCTTGCGGTTGCTGGCGTGGCGCGCTGCGAGTAAGATCCAACAGAATGTCGATATCTATGAAGGGAACGAATGGGAAACTGGTCTGCACTTGTCAAACTGGAGAGTCAGTACAGTACCTGTCTCTGATACTATGCAATTAGTAATGACGGGAGTACAGTGGCTTCTGCCAAGTCGATTTTCCCAAAGACCCTTCTTGACGCCTTACTCGCCTGGAACCCAGAAGGCATGCATGACCCCGTGCCGTCAAGCGTTGTCACTGACGCTGCGTTCTTCCCATTTTGTGGACACTTCAAGGGTGCTCAGAGATATGATCTATCGCGATCTTGCTATGAAAGTTGTCGCGATTAGACCTCCTCATTGACCAATAGATCCCGGTCTGTGCAGAAAGTCTATAAGTTGACCGTCCCTAAGACGAATTCCTACTTGGCCAAGGCTGAAGCTGAGGGGCCGTGGGCAGAGTAAAGCACAAACACTCTAGCAAGAGGGTCCAGAGCTTCCTTCTCGGACAATAATCATCAGCGAATGTCGTCTTCTACCTAGCATCACCACAGGTAGCTTCTCCGAACAAGTGGCCTGATATGCTTGCTCAGCAATAATGGACTCATTCTGACAAGCAGCATCCCAGTCTTGGTACGATGATGTCCGTATCATTACGTACTGTCAAAGATGGAGCTGCTGCACAGTCAGCCACCCTAGTTGCCAACAAATCCAACGCTTGGTTTGAACTCTGGTCATAATTGGTTGGCGGTCCAATCCATCACCGGCGATTGACAACTGGACTGCCTTAGTCGCATGCACGGCAGACTACACTCACATTTGATCCATGATCGCCTCATAATCTCCATACAGATCGTAATGTATAGCCATGTACGATACTGTATGGATTGCCAGCGGGGTCTGTCCGAGTATTGCCACGCCTCAGAAGCGAAAGACCTTGCCAATCACACTTGATAATCAGATAATAGCTTCAATCATTCGGCTCAGTAGGGTAACCGGCTGGTAAAACAGTGACTAGTATCTTACCATTGGCACTGATCTTGTTGACGGTTTCCACTGATCTCCAGTTCCCGAGAGTCTCCCTGGGTCTCGTCCACGGAGCAGTCCGCAGCGCTACCGTGGTACTAAAGCATCTCAAAAGAACTCGGTACGGGTTTCCCGTATTTACTAAAGAGTATGCTGACGCTGACTTTCAGACACTGTCAGGCCGTGGTGTCGAGGTAGATGCATGTTTCAGAAGCGCTGCATTAGGTGCATGGCTTCATACCTTAGATTCGGAAGTCTCTGATGACTTTGTCAAATCGCTGTACTGCCCACTTGGCGATTCCAAGATGATCATCATGATTTATGAGGTGCGGCCAACGTAGGTATCTAGATATACGTTCTGTACGCAAAGCGCACCTCTTCCGTCCTAATTCTCATTGTCTCAGGCTCTCCGTCAATGAAATACCTGTCGTTTTCCCCGAAACAGCCTAGCTTGGTAAGTTCGTCAAAGTAGCCTTGAAAATCAATGAGGCTTTAGCAGGAAACCGGCGTGGCATTTACCTTTGTCCCTAATTTACATCCAATCACCTCACTCATCCTCGCCGGGTGACCATCAGCAAAGACGACAACCCCACCCACGATAGCGATAACTCCTTCCCAGGATCCTCTAGCGCAGCTCCGAAAGACGCAGCTTCCGCTCACCGCTGCTTCGTTCCCCACCGCCTCCTCTATGCCTGTGATTTCCCTCTTCTTCTTCCTCTCATACCCCCGGATTTTGGGCATTTTGCTCATCCGAGTGGCATTTGTCCTCAGGTTTCTACGACGAATTTACCTTCAACCTCTCTCGCTGTGAACTCTTTTGTACCACCCTCACCTTGTCTGGTCTTTCTTTGCTGAGATTTTCCTTTTTCAATTATTACATTTACATTTCCTTCTTGATATCTCGTAAATAGCTGATTCCGACAATGTCAAATGTTGATATAACCAACGATGGCTTCATCGGGCTTGACTACGACTCGAGAAGTTACATCCAGCCTCAGTCATGGCCCGTGGCGGTGGACCATCAGAGCTCCCAGCGAACGGAGGGATCGCGAGACATCTCTAGCGGTCACGCTTATGAACAGTCGGTAGCTCAGGATCCCAACCTGATGGTCGACTGGCACTTCCAACAGCTGCAACCCCACCTTCAGTACACTCAGGAGGATCATTCGTCGGCTCAGCAATATACGACTTCAAGCTATGGGATGCCCATCCATTCGTCTCCTGTGGATGTCATGGCTCCGCCCCAGGGCCAGATGAGCTCCGGTCTTTTGGAAAGTTCTTATATGCCACTACCTGCGCCAGTCGACATGGTTCCATTTGGCTACCAGGATCTCCAAACTGAGCTGATGTCTTTCCCGGATGGCCTGCCAGATTTATCATCCTACGCTGCACCACGCAACTTGATTGGTAGCAGTTCCCCCACGGACACTTACTTGGAAGTACGGTCATTGTCGAGTAGCGATAACGGCTGGAGCGCCATTGAACCCCGTCACTCTCACGAATTCATGTTCCCCGATCAGGGCATCTTTATCAATCCCACGCAAACGTTGCACGACCGGAGCCTTTCTGAGTCATCCTACTCAACTTCCTACGGCAGTTTTGTTGACATCTCCAATCCAGTCAACTCGCCCACCTCTGATCTTAACTTCGAGTCTGCTTTCAGCATGCCGAGACGGGTCTCCTACGATCACACTTCCCACGGCTCCCGATCCCCTACCGCAGTCAGCCCTGTAGCAATTGTGCGACCTATTCCTGTTCCCTCCAAGAAGTCCACTTCGCCCACCAGGTCTGCTGGATCACAGGCGTCATCCTCATCGCCGCCCAGTAGGAAACCATCGCGCAAAAGCCCAATCGCTGCGAAGACTGCGGAGACAAAGATCCGCAAGCAATCGCAAGCTGGAAAGCCGGAAGGCGAGAAACGTGTTGGAAAGCGAAAGGGCCCGCTCAAGCCGGACCAGAGAAAGCAAGCCAGCGAAATTCGCAAGTTGAGAGCATGCCTGCGTTGCAAATTCTTGAAAAAGACTGTAAGTTCTTCCGATCCGTAAATCTGCCAGCGCTTGACTGACAGGGCAACCTTCACAGTGTGATAAAGGCGAGCCCTGTGCCGGTTGTCAACCCTCGCATGCTAGATTATGGCAAGTTCCTTGCACAAGAATCGACATCAAGGAAATTGGGTACTTCATGAAGGATTGGAAAGCGGACTACGAGCGTCATATTACTCTCGGATTTTCGGTCGGAAACATCAAGGGTTTCTCAGAGCACGAAAGGACCTTGTTCATCACCCATGGTTATGGTCAGATTCTTCCCATTAACGCCCGGGAGGTCTACGTCCGGGATGATCAATGCTTTAGTGTCGACTGGGTCGAATCGATGCACCGAGAACCCACCCAGTACGAGGTCGAGACCGCCAAACTATCTGCTGGTATGGAAGGTATATCACATGCCATGTTGTCCGATTATCTTGACCGCCACATTGATGGCAATGGTACTTTTGAGAAGTTTGTGGACGACTACTTCGAGGGTACACCATTCCTGACGCAGATGCTCAAGACTGCCTTCCGGTATTACTTCCGCACCAAGCTACCTGTGATCCGTAAAGCGTTGAAGCTCATCATCGCCTACAACCTGACTCTCCATGTCACAATGGTGGAGGGTATAGGTGAAGAAGATGGCTTCCTTGGCAAGATTGAGGACCCATCATCGAAGTTCAAGGGCAAGATCATGGCGCCTGTCATGATCAATTTCCAGATCAAGTGTGCCATGGCTAATATGTGGCGCGAGCTGCAGAAGGATGTCCTCGAAGAGCTGTCGAGTCTTTACTCAAGCGTGTATAGTGGGGAGAAACTGAAGAACTGGCCTACGATCTTCATTTTAGCATGCATCCTGTTGGCAGTGTGGGAGGAAATGCAATTCGACTGCCATTACCGCACACCGGTGAGTCGCAATTAAGCACTGCTGTGAAAGGTTGAATTACTGACATCTCGGAAGGACCCTGCCGCTGTGGAGAAGTTCTGCAATGATATGGAGAATATCCCTGTCGGAGTCATCGTTGGCTTGTTCCAGGCAATTTCGCAGAAACTCCCCGCTTTCACTGATTGGGAAACACAGAAGCACCACCACTTGCTGTTTTCGAATCCAGATGTTTGCAACACCATGACCGAGGTTCGCGAACATGTAAAGCAATACGGTAAGCGGCCATCTGTTTCGCCCCTAACCTGTTGCTGAGTATACTAACCTGCCCCACAGAGAGCTATCTGAGAAGCCGCTCGAATTCGAAATTCGACCGCAATGACTTTGATTGCTTGTCGAACAAATTCATTTCAAGACTTGTGGTTCGCGCAAATTAAGATGACGAGATATGAGGATGAAAAACCACGACCTACAATCGACTCAAATGTGTTACGGCTGAGCCAGCGCAGTACAACCCCATATGAGACATGTCGACCTTGATGTTTACGAGACTCGCCTGAAGCGAAAGCGACTATCACTCTTTTCGCATTTGTGTCTTATTTACGGCCGCTTTCCTGCTGTCTTGACCTTTTGTGGATCTTGATTGACAGCGTTTATTTCTTCTTTTTTTTTTTTTTTTTTTTTTTTTCTTTGCTTCTTTCTCAGTGATATACGTTTCTCGCATAGTGTTTCCACAGCGATGATGAGTATCACGAACGTCATGATATTGTATGGTCACGAAGATGTCTGGCAGCAGAGACGATGAGCGCGCAACTGAGTTGCAGACGTATGCTAGAGGCTAGTTCTCGCGTCATTTTCACCGAGTTGCATTTTCCTTTTCATTTAGCGAGTTTTGTTCTCATTATTGTGTTTGACTATGAGGGGCATTATGATCGCTCCACGGAAAAACTAGGAGCTAAGCTTTGTTTACTCTCCGATTGAACTTCGCGATACCAAGGCAATTTGCAATTCCCGTCACGAATATTATATGTTCACCAGCTAGGTATTTCTCCCTTTGCTCGAATAGGCTCCGGGTTTAATGGTTGTAGAGCCATTTGATCAAGCAGCATTGGGATTATTCATTGTGTGCCCCTAGGTCGATGGTCATTCAAACAACATTCTGTGAACAATGCCGCACAGCAGATAATGTGGGAGAAGTGGATACGGCTGCCTTACTTACGCATTGCCTAAGGCCTCAAGGCAGGGGATCTACCGAATGCGAAGATCACATGACGCCTGATGGCTGTCCCGCATTACCATTTGTGGTAGCCTGGGGCGGCCGTCTTTAGTAGTAGTAGTAACAACACTATCAGCTGAGGTGTCCACTTTCCACCCCCTCTCCGGCCGATAAGGCACGTCATCGGTGTATGACGCAGTGAGAAACTGAGAATTGAAGCAGCACAGAAAACTCCGGCGGCTAAATGCGATAATTTAACAGTATCAAGGGAATCACGGCAGGATCAAAGGTAGATATTTCGGAAGAAGAAATTTTCTCTGAGTCTGGGCAAGGCTAATCGGATCTTGGGTGTCGAGATGGTGTGAGACGGCAACCAGTGGCGTCAGTGGCGGGTGTAAACGGAGACAGGCTGTAGGAAACATCTCGGACTATAGTGATATGTCTAGTCGCAGCTTTCCCAGGCAACGGAAGTCAGGAAAGAGATTTGAAGGTATGAAATAGGGGCAAGGTTACGATAAGGAGTGACGAACTTCCGCCCGTTGTTGTCCGTATCTATGTTTATTCACTTCAGAGTACCTTAGGAGGATGTAAAATAAGATCCTTTTGTCATCAATATAACTAACTAACTATGCCGCTATTATTACTCAGCTACCAACTGATACAAGGTACTTACAAGGTTCTTGAGGCGCCTATTATTGAGTCATCGGGCCGAGCGACGACCGGAAAGGCAGTTTTCTAGCAGTTTCCCCCAGGTATCTGTAGAGAGTTTGGCCAGGCGCAGGCTGTGAATGGCCAGAGGAACAGAAACCAGGGAAAGCGCCAGGCGGTGCCAGAAAAATGTTCCTGCCGCTCCTTCTTTCAAACTTTCCTTGCGTCACGTTATCCGGCCTATCTCATCACTGATTCACTCTCGCCGTTTCTGGTCCTGGCCTGGCCTGACTAAGTCGCTTCGCCTCCGCCTCCTCCCCCTCTCCTCTTATGAGTACTTAAACCTCTCCTCCTTCCCTCTGTCGCTCCTGCCTCTTTCATCATTTCATCATCTTTCTCTTATCCCTTCCCCTTCTGTGAGGTACACTAGCTCTCTACCATCTTCCTCCTATCTCCTACTGTTGAATACTCCCATCATCATCCTTTTGACGAATAGACTGAAACACTCCTCACATCGTCCTCACCATGCAGATCTTTGTCAAGACTCTCACGGGCAAGACCATCACCTTGGAGGTCGAGTCCAGCGACACTATTGACAATGTCAAGTCGAAGATTCAGGATAAGGAGGGCATCCCTCCTGACCAGCAGCGCTTGATTTTCGCTGGCAAGCAGCTCGAGGATGGCCGCACTCTCTCCGATTATAACATTCAGAAGGAATCTACTCTGCACCTGGTTCTCCGTCTTCGTGGTGGCATGCAAATCTGTAAGTTACTTTGCCGCCCCGAATTTCGCCACCCTGGTGGCCACATTTCAGGATCACTCGCTGACTCATTCACAACAGTCGTCAAGACCCTCACTGGCAAGACCATCACTCTCGAGGTGGAATCCAGCGATACCATTGATAATGTTAAGTCGAAGATCCAGGACAAGGAGGGTATCCCTCCCGACCAGCAGCGCCTGATTTTCGCTGGTAAGCAGCTGGAGGACGGCCGCACTCTCTCAGACTACAATATCCAGAAGGAATCGACTCTCCACCTTGTCCTTCGTCTCCGTGGTGGTATGCAAATTTTCGTCAAGACTCTCACCGGAAAGACTATCACATTAGAAGTGGAGTCTTCAGACACCATCGACAACGTCAAGAGCAAGATTCAGGACAAGGAGGGTATCCCTCCTGATCAACAGCGTCTCATCTTTGCTGGAAAGCAACTTGAAGATGGCCGTACCCTCTCTGATTACAATATCCAAAAGGAATCCACACTGCATCTTGTCCTCCGTTTGCGTGGTGGTATGCAGATCTTCGTCAAGACACTCACCGGAAAGACTATTACCCTGGAGGTGGAGTCCTCAGACACAATCGACAACGTGAAGAGCAAGATCCAAGACAAGGAGGGCATTCCTCCGGACCAGCAGCGTCTCATCTTCGCTGGTAAGCAGTTGGAAGACGGGAGGACCCTCTCCGATTACAACATTCAAAAGGAGAGCACGCTCCACCTGGTGCTGCGTCTGCGCGGTGGATGTTAAAGGAGAGAAGGCTTTCACTGATTTGACGACATTTTACGGCTCGGATGGCCTGCATGGCGTTTGGATGGCTTATGGTTTCTATTGATAAGGCTACGCTGGGCATACCTTTCTTTTCTTATCGCCACGATTACGGCGCATTACATACTCTATTTAAGAATCAATGGACCAGTTGATATCTCTGGTAACACTCATTTCAGGTAAACTTGTAGAAGGTTGTAGAAGTCACAAACGACCCTTCAAATAACTTCATTTGTTATTCCAGCGTATGATCTGGTGAGCAGGTGAGTGTTCCTTGACAATGCTCTTTGCCACAAGGCACGTGACTACGGTAACCAAGGAACCAAAAGCGGAATGATAAGCAACAATATATCCTGGAGACTGAGGTAATTAATGAAGCTGCAATACCACGAGCAGCTTAGCAATGTGAATGAGCATCGGTCGGGATGCCCTCCTACTTTTATCATTTGGCTATCGAATTGTTTGCTCATCCTCAGTCCGGTCTTGGATTCGCCTCTCAGAGTGTCGACCATCGATCACCTACGTCTCTATCATTTGACTCCGCATGTGAAGCTCTGCTCCCGTTTCAGAAGCGGGCGCGACAGTCGATATCAACGATTCATAACAGCCACCAGTCTCGGACTACTTCTTCTCAATGTACGTCTCATAGCCTAGAATTTGTAGAACTCTGAAATGCATCATGCAGCTCTAACGCAAAATCCAGCGGCGAGCGCGACAGCAACGGCGCATCCTACTGTACCCCACCTCTACACGAAATCACCCACGAGTGCGAGCGACTTTGAGAACGATCTCAGACTAGACAAAATATCAATCGAATGTGTTGATATGGTACCCTCGGAACACGAAAGCGCAACGGCTTCAAAACGGATTGGCAAGCGAGACGTCAAGGACAACCCGGTTGCGACCGGGATCGGCACCGATATTCTCGGCGGGCTACGCACCAAGGGGCAATATATACCACTTGACCAGCAGACGTCGGAGAGTATCTGGGGTATTGTGCACCTTTACCGAGATGCAGAGGAGACGCCGTTTCTCGTCGGCGAGGACTACCCTCTGGAGCTGAAAGGGTCGGCGGCGGCGGCCAAACAGCCGTATGATCAGCTCGGTGGGCGCCAGGATGCGCCGGCTAAGGGCCACTCACTTTCTCTGCGCCAGGATGAGGATTGCACGACTCTGTGTATACTTGCGGTGCCATCTTACATGTCGCCTTCTGACTTTCTGGGCTTCGTGGGCGAGGCGACAATGGATGAAGTGAGCCATTTCCGAATGATCAGGACGGCGAGGGCGAATCGGTATATGGTTCTGATGAAGTTTCGGAGCGGGAAGAAGGCGAAGGAGTGGCAGAAGGAGTGGAACGGTAAAGTCTTCAATAGCATGGAGGTGAGTGTTCACGATTTACTCCTTGTTTCAATTCGCGTCGCATGCTGATTTCCTCGACAGCCGGAAACGTGCCATGTCGTTTTTGTCAAGACGGTTGAGATTCAAGCCGTCAATTCCGACTCTGACCTCTCGGCTTCCCAGCAGAGCGCACCTTCTGCTTCGCATGTTGCGACAAGCCCCCAGCGGACGGCCATACCCACCTCTGTTCAGCCGAGCTCCATACCCACTGCCACCCTCTCGAGTAAACCGCTTGCGCCTCCCACACCCGCGCTCATCGAGTTACCCACCTGCCCCGTGTGCTTGGAACGCATGGATGAAACGACGGGGCTGTTGACGATATTGTGTCAGCATGTCTTTCATTGCACTTGTCTACAGAAATGGAAAGGAAGCGGATGCCCGGTGTGTCGATATACACAAGATGACTTCCGCAGGGGCAGTCAAGGGGCGGCGTACGGGGATGAGCCGGCAGAGTGCAGCGTCTGTCGCTCCGAGATCAACCTCTGGATCTGCCTCATTTGTGGAAATGTCGGCTGCGGCCGCTACGACGGCGCGCACGCTTTCGCACACTACAAGGAGACCTCGCACGCGTTTTCAATGGACCTTGCCAGTCAACGCGTGTGGAGCTATGTAGGCGATGCGTATGTCCACCGGATCATCCAGAGCAAGACAGACGGCAAGCTGGTGGAACTACCTGCAGCGGACAATAGCGCGCTTGATCCTCCCGACTGGAGCGATGCGGTGCCCCGCGAAAAGCTGGAGAACATGAGCGTCGAGTACACACACCTCCTCACAAGCCAGCTGGAAAGTCAGCGCGCTTACTTCGAGGAAATCGTCGAGCGAGCGGCCGACAAGGCATCGCAGGCTACCGCGGCGGCCTCCATGGCACAAGAAACGGCCGAAAAGGCGGCTGCCAGTCTACGGGCCCTGCAGGCGCAGTACGATAAACTGGCCGCCGAGACTCTCCCCGGTCTCGAGCGGGACAAGGCTCGAGCCGAAAAACGAGCGGAGAAATTCGAGGCCATGACGCGCAAGATGGAGAAGGAATGGCGAGAGGAAAAGACAATGAACGAGAGCCTTATGAAGCGTATCGAACATTTGACGGCCGAAGTCGCGGAGCTCAAAGCCGCAAACGCGGACTTGACGGAGCAGAATCGTGACCTCACGTTCTTCATCAGCGGCTCGGAACGCCTCAAGGATCAAGGTGAGGACGTGGTGCAAGGGACTGTCAGTGTTCCGGATCCTCCGGCCAACAGTAAACGGAAGGGCAGAGGGAAGGGGAAGAAGTAGTTCGACATCAGCCGTGATGTTGTATGTCGATCATGGAAAACTTCTCTGTCGTCATCCCAAACGCAGTACCTTGATCCATTGATCAAGAAGGTATGCAGAGGAGATTCAGACCGGTTGCTACAAGTCAGGTCTCTATAAGCACTGCTCCTCTGGTACCTTGGGCCCTCCGAGGGACAGGGACGGTTCCTCGTTTGCGTTGTGACTGGGGATTGCTTGCCTTCTAGCCTATACTAGTGAGGGACCCCATGCGCATAAGACGCTGGAGGCTATTGAAAATTCGCCATTGTGTGAATCGCTCCACCAGAATAAAGCACTTTCTAGCAGAATAGTCAGTACTCATTACTGAAATCACCACTTGATCTGTTCCAATGTCCTCATTGAGAAGAATCGTACTCCGTTGCCATGTCTGATCTCTAAACCAGGTCTATACATAATATACAAGTAGCAGTACAAGAAACCCCAGCTCAGTACCCACCCTTCCGCACAGCCCAGAAGTAGTTGCCCCAACTCTCCGACCCGGGAACCATCTTCCACCCCAAGCCAGGGAAATACATGACCCCCGTACATTTCCACTCCATGCCCTGTAGCGCCTCACTGCCCGCACGCGCCGCAGCCCCATCCGAACTTCTCATCAACCCCTCCTGCATCCATCCCTCCAGCTCGTCCGGATTCACAAACTTGCTCCATTCATGCGTTCCGCGGGGCACGACGCCAATCGGCCACGGCGCCTCGGCAATCACCTGATTCACCAACCACGAGGGCAGTGTGCGCGCGATCGTTGACCCGATCAGCCAGCCGCCTGGTCTGACGAGACGCAGGCAGTCTGTTAGGAATGCCAGGGGCGAGGAACCCGCGCTTGAGTCGACATGCTCGAGGACCTCGAAGAGGGTCACGACGTCGAATTTCCTGTCTGCTTCGGCCTCCGCCTCCGTCGCTGTCTCGGTGGCGGAGGTGGTGCTAGGAGTATCCTGGCGGAGGACCTCCGCGACGAGGTCCTCGAGCGTGCGGTTCTGGTAGCTGAAGCGGCCGGTGCTGAGGTGGGAATCTACGTTCGGGTCGAGGCGGGCGTGGTCGCGCGCGATCTTGATGAGGGTTGGGGAGGGGTCGATGGCTGTGATTGAGGCGGCGCGGGTGGGGGTTGTCGGGGACGAAGGGGAGATGGGGATCGTGCGGGCGAGGGACTCGGCGAAGATGCCGCCGCCGCAGCCGATGTCGAGGTAGCGGAGGGTGTTAGTGGTGGCCGCGGCGGGTGTGGTTTGACGAGGCGGGGGCAGGGACTCGGCCAGGCAGGAGGCGATGAAGTCGTGGCGGAGGGGGTTCATGAGATGGAGGATGCGCGAGGGGCCGACGGGATCCCACCAGCTGCTGGCGAGGGCGGAGAAATGCGAGAGTTCATTTGCGGAGACGGAGGAGGTGGAATGAGCGCGGGGAGTGTCGAGGCGGCGGAGGAGGGGGGCGAGCGAGCGAAACGGAGTTGTCCGGAGAGAGTTCATCTTGATCTAAGTCGAGGATTGGTCGATACGCGCTTTGGTATTTCTCTGCGATGGATCAATGCGCGTGCGCTTGTCTATGGCTGGGGAGGTTGTCTGGGACAAACGTGTTAGCGTAAGGCCTGTGAAGCAATCGGAGTCACAAACATTGAGTCGCCGCAGCTGAATTGTGGTCTTGGCATTCCTTAGAATCCTATAGCAAGCTGGTTCTATTCATCGCTGCTCTGGTCCATAGGGGTTGTGAATTCAAAATCAGTGCTCCTGCTATGATGAAGCATGTTCCAATTCCGCGGTGGTTGTAAAGAACGACAAACATGCCAAGCTTTTGACAGCAGACTGTACATCTATCCAGTCTTGGAGTTTTGACGATTGTTCTAGCAGTGCTCTTTACATGGATGGTTTTGTTCTATCTTCCTCTGCGTATTCATTATTTCTTCTATAGCGATCTTGAACAAGAGCTTCTTTCTAGTGGGAGTGGAGCCGGAACCAAATGTGTAGGAGCAGTAGCAGTAGGTATATATATACTTGTCTCTTTCTGCATTTCCTCCTTCGAACGTAATCGATAGCTCTGGCAGCTACGGCAGACTATGCCTTGGGATATTGCTCACTGCTTCGGGTTCCTTTATCAGAATGAACTACAGCTGAGTTCTGCTCCATACGGTTATTCAAACTTCCAATATATATCTCAGCTAGGTGGTCGGGTGTCCAATGTGCACATACAACGCCAACAATATCGTAATAACATCCGTAGATCCCATGATGAGACTGAAATACAGATGGAGTACAATCTCTCAGTATCCCCCTCACAGCTGAAGACCAGACCGTACAGCCAACCTGGCATCATGCTCCTATGGAGACCTCTGGTACGATCGACAAGTCCATGACAAAAGTACACCCAAGCCAAGGCCACAAAGACATGCAGACTACAGAATATGGAAAAAGGGGCAAGACTAGACTACAAGTCAAGACTCAAGAGTGAGACAAGATCGCGGCAAATGGACATCATCATAACCCGAACAGGAAATACGCCAGAACGTTCTTAATTTGTCGTGCAGCAGTGCAAGGGCTGGTGGATCCTCCTGGGGAGACAGAAAAATTCTACGCGTCTTCCAGAAGTCTTCCTTTTCTGATTTAATAATATCCTCTGGTTCAGTAGCATGGTTTATGGAGCGAGGGTACGACTCGTCATATATCCACCTACTAACCAAGTCTGTCGTAGGAATAAGCCGCCTGTGCGACTAAGCTTGGGTGATGGGTGGGTTCACTTGTTGATTTAGGGATGGTATCACTAACGAGTACCTTACGGAGTATGAACTATGGATATCAGTACTCCTATTCAATGAACCATCTACCAAGCAGTGCTGACTGCTGACGAGGGAGTATCTAGGCACCTGGTCTCGTTCACCTTCCCTTTCCCCCTGTGCTATCCGTTATTGAGCGAGGTTCTAGTCTTATCAGGTGCTCTCAATCTGGCATCTTCGCCGTTGGACGGTGAGGGAGAATCGCAGGATGCCCGGTGTGGCTTGCCGCGACTGCGTACAGTTCAGGCTGGTGGAAGACTACATGATTACTGCTGCTGTATCACGCTTTTGTACGGAGTACTTGGATGTTGTGTGTTGCGTTGTGTTGTGTTGCTATGGAGTACTGCATCTATGAACTTGAACAATGTATATGCTTGCAGACCTGCAATGATGGTCAAGGCACAATCTACCGGTGTACAAAGTAGCGCAACAGCTCATGTGTACCTACTGAACAGAGAGTGACGAGGATGTGAGAATATCGATAATAAGCAGAAAGGGGAGACGATCCCGTCCATGGAAGTTTTCTAGAACATTACGCAGTCGGTGCTAGTGTAGGAGTGGCTTGAGAATTTATGCCTAGCGTGATAGCATGTCTCATGTTATGGTGATCGATATTATTATGATATTCTTACAAATTAGTCTACTACTAACTAGTGTAGAGAAAACACACAGACCCATTTTAATTATTTTAGTGCGTGTATCAGCCACCACAAGCGGGTGGGTTCTCCCCTTTCCTCGTAGCCTTGTTCTGGTAGTAAGCTACGGATTCCTACGGAGAGGCACGGCTTGAAAGTTGGGTAACCTGAAACCATCTCAAACATCGAGGCGTTGGTGGGCTAAGCAATTTGCCCAATGAGAATCTTAGGAGTCACTTGCCGTCGGTGGTATTCAGATATCGAGAAGCAGGCAATGCTCTTTAGGAGAATCCTGAACGTCATGAATGGGATCACTGGATCATGGGGTGTCAACAATAGACTTCCCGGCTACTTTCGGCTCCGAATAACCTGTACGGTACAAAGTATAAACTGAGTCGCTGTTGACGATCAGACGAGTCAAAGATGGTTCTATCCCCTACAAGGCAAGACGACAAGGAGAAGGGAAAACGATCCGCGTCATGGGGCTGATGGTATGTTGACGGAGATCACCACCACAGACTTCTGCAGCACTTAAATAGCGCTGTGATAACTAGGGGAAGTATACGAAAGAGAGTGGTATTAAATCTGTAGTGCTTGAGAATAGAGGTTCAGACCTCCTAGAACCTTACTCGCAGGATTGCAGGTGGCTGCGATGGATGCAGAAATGAGCAATCAGAACAGGGAAAGATAAAGAGAACAAATGCTTCCATTGTGGTCCCGAATACCTTCTAGAAGGATTTCGGAAGCCCGGTCTGGTCTTGGCGTTTAACCGCGTGGCCCCTTGTCTGTCTGACTCCTGACTCCTTAGTCCTACAAAGCACTGAAGTCAAGTACTCCCTAGTCTCCGTACTAAAGTAGGCTCTGAAGTTGATGTGATAGTGGAGAGTCAATTTGGACAGTTCACCAATCATCAGTTCTGCTTAGGGGAGAATGACCAAGGCATTGGCATTATTATTATTATTGTACCGTCAATACGGATGGTCCATGCACTAAGACACATAGTCTCGGTTTAGTGTCTCCAGCCAGCACTAGCCGACTAGTAAGTAATGAGTTAGTAACAGAACTAGGCGAAACTAGCCCATACTGCTCCCCTTCGTGTATGAGCCACATATTCCAAGCCATCGACTCAGTAGGTGAAGTCCCCGGCTTCATGCTGAAGTTGGTGAAGTCTGTGATGCCCCAGTAAGCATGCAGTCCGACGTGACATGCAGATTGATCAGTAAACGGACCGGGGAAGTAAATCCGCTGTTCTGCGGAAAGCAAAGACTCGTCAGTCCTGGAGTAGACAGATACTACGTAGGACTCACTATTACTCCGCGGCCTAGAGACACAGGTTGCATTGTTACCCAATTAGTCCCTGTGCCCGCCATACACAATTCGAAACTTTCTAGAAGGAAATTAACTTTCCCACCGTTGCTGTTCGCTAATCTGACCCCATGCGCGATTATAATTTTGGCTGAAGGGGTTAAACAATGGTGAGATTGTGACCCTTGGAGGCTTCGACTGGGGTTACTCTGTCAGGCCCGTCCTATGAAGACGACGCTCGTTGCTGATCGCTCACTAGCCAAGCCAGAGGTCAGCAGCATCGCGCCTTGAATTTTGAGCAAGGGCCTCCCTGTTAACAAATGAGCACTGTCCCTATTTTTCTTAGTCTCCTGAATATCAGAACATTTCGTCAGCCTTGTGTAATTGATCCTCACTGATTGCCGGCAACGAGAAGCGGAGTAAACTAGTACGTCTGCACTTGTAAGGTTCCATGTGTCGCACGATGGCGAGTAATCTATCTTGCAGTAGGGGAGTGATAACGCGGCCGGAAAGTGTTTTGCAAGTCCCAAAATAGTGATCGTATCTGGCCGTATTATCCACTTGCTTGCCATTGATTTCTCCTTTTTCTTCCTGCAGGTCAGCCTTGCAGAATGATGAATGTCTTAGGAGATTCCGGGGTAGCCAGTAGGAAAGCAAGCTCCTCAGGGGGCCATGGCCATGTACTGGTTCGTCTCGGTTCCTGAATCAAAAAAGGGTCATAATCGAAAGCACCGGCCCTGTTGCGTCATGAACCTTGAAGGCCCATCCCCTAACCTTATGGGGAGTCTAGATAGGAGATTTGATAACCTAGGAGGGTTGGAGAAACACCCCATCCACAGAGCAATCAACGAGCCACGAGGTTGAAATCTTGAGGCATCACAGGAGGGCCAGAACAGGCACCAGGGATCATCTTGTGTATCGTCTTTAGTCTTCACCCATCACTCGTTATTCCTTACTCGTCGTACAGATCGGCACCAGTCTGGATACGGTCTCCACCACCAGAGCCGAATCTCGCACGGCCAAGGGGACGGGGAAGGCCATGTTGTGGAGCCGAGGGAAAATGATGGTGACCTTCTGCTGCCGCCAGCTTCTTTTCGGGGGCCCTGTTCAATGTTCAAACAGTTCAAGTGTTCAACCGGAGCCACTTAGGCCACTTGGGGGGCGGCACTCTAGTGGAAACGTGCTGATACCAGTAGTAGTGTCCGTAGACTAGTTAGGCTGCTCAGTCCTGAACCAGTAGTAGGTCAGTAAACTAATAAATAATAATAACCCATGAAAATAAATGATTTGTTATTGAAATAAAACGCCCGCTGAATACTTGCTAATAATAATCGTCGCAATTAAAAGGCACGTACTAGATAAATGGTTAAATAAATAAAAAAAAAAAAAAAAGGGCTGTACGGTAGTGGTATGGTGGAAGAACGTGTTTCTGGAAGCCTTCCATCATAACTTAAGTAGGTACTCGATCTCCGGCAGTCGTCCCTTTATTATTGCTGTTGCTTGGTACCACTGTCATCATCATCGTCAAAATCTTTTTGTCATATTTCCTTCTCTTCACTGTCCATCATCCATCGAAGCGTCAACACACCTTTGTCCCGCCCGACCAACGGTGACTGTTTCCCACACGGAAGACGAGCGTCCCAATCGACATCATCTTGAACCCGCGGAACTTTTTTCTGGTCGCAGTTGTTTTTCCCTCCCTCGGCCTCTAGTTTCCATCCAAGCCACCGCTCACGACCTATCCATCCGCGGTCAGCTTCAGCACAGGATCTTCTCTTCCATTCTCCTCTTCACTGGGTACGGATCCTTTGTCGCTGGTTGCTCGACTTGCTTTTCCTCTCGCGGAGTCTGCTTATCCCGTACGTTCTCCCCCTCGTTGTTTCGCCGGGGCTCTACATGGTCCCCGCTATCTCGTTTGCCTCGTTTGTGATATGAGACTCTTTGCTCAGCCGCTCGACTCGCTCTTGGAGCGCTTGAGATCGCTTGACGCATAGGAAGTCGTTCAGTTTGGATATAACGGTTGAAAGCTATGAACATTCCGCGGACATTGATTCCACTGTCTATACTTTGTGTAGATTCAGAGACTCAGTTCTTTGGAATGCTCAACAAACAGTGTTTTGCAACCGCTTTTTCGCAGCTGTCTGGTGCTCTCGGAGTGCATATAGTTACTATGGATTTCATGAATGCTCAACCTGCTAACAGTACACTCTCAGAGATTAGTGACTTCCCGCCTCGCATTACGAACATACCCGGTATTCAGGTCCTCGAATCCCTCCTCACTTGAGACGCGCTCGGAACCCAGTACAATCAGTCTGTCGCTGGAAAGTCACTCGCATCCTCCTAATCTCTACCGATACCGATCCGAGTAGGCCGGGCGACACAGCGAGAAGCGCGCAGCATTCTGAAATTTCGTACAGATTCACAAAGTTTGGAACCCCTGGTTTGTCGGCTCTGCGGGTATTCGCGATTTCCTCGTATTTGCAGATCTCCGAGGGGGCTTGAACCAGTGTCTCAGTCTTCCCTGGATCCATTCAGTCAGGGCTCGCGATTTGCGAAGGACGTTCAACATCGTGAGAATACCAGGCAGCTCAGGAGGACCGGTGAGTGCCCCTTGAACCTCCTTTTTATTGCCACGTTCGAAATGCGTTAGCTATTTGCCCTTGTTCATCTAGCTGAATTCAGCGCAATCCTTTCCCGGTTCTTTGCGTTCACTTTACTAACGGATATCTTGGTAAATCAGCGCGCAAACCGAGTTTGAAACGATTTTCAGTCACAACATAACGGCAGCACGGAAGCCACTCACTACGTTTACTCTAGCTGGTCAACATATCCGCGCCTCTTCAGAGTCAGCAAAAGCCGTAGAGACAATTCTGCGGCTGCTCCTCGAGAAATTTTAGAACAGGACATTTTCAAGTGTCCTTGACCGCCGTTTCTCAGCTCGTAGCTGGGTCGGGTCATGGACATCACAACTATTTTGAACAGAAAAGGGTCTACTGCCGCTATCGCAGCAGAAGCTCAATTTCAACAGCAGTTTGTGCACCACAACCTGGATCCTTCCTCATCGCCCAAGATGAAGCCTGAGCCTGGAGTGTCGGAAGCTTCCGATCAACAGGTCTTGTCTTATCCTTCGCACGCTCCGCTGAACCCTATGCCCAACATGGCCCAAGACATGCGGTATCCGCCTCATGGACAACCCAATAGTGGAATGCCAGTTCTGCAGAATCCTTACGTCCCTGGAGCTTACACCGGCAGTGCTCAAATTCCCAGTAGTGCAACGCCCCAAAGGGCCGATCCTCCGCCGAAGACCTTTCACTGCTCGACTTGTGGCAAGGGGTTCGCTCGGCGTAGTGACCTCGCTAGACATGGTAAGATTTCCACGGGAATACATGCGAGAAGTAAAACATCGAGCCACTGACCACATTCTAGAACGAATCCACACAGGGATAAGACCGCACGCTTGCGATTGGCCCGGCTGTGGGAAGCAATTCATTCAACGTTCGGCTTTGACTGTGCACTCTCGTGTTCATACTGGAGAGAAGCCCCATATGTGTGAGAGATGCGGCAAGGTATGCAGACATACTCTGTTCTGTAGCTGAAAACCATTTACTGACTCGAATATATTGGCAGCCTTTCAGCGATTCGTCTTCCTTGGCCAGACACCGCAGAATCCATTCTGGAAAACGGCCGTACAAGTGTCCATATGCGAACTGTCAGAAGACGTTCACTCGTCGCACTACCTTGACGCGTCATCAGAATCATCACACGGGAACCATTGAGGAGGCTGCCGCAGAGACGGAAGCCAACCTGAGACAGAACAAAGAGAGAGCAAGGGCACCTGGCGATGGGGTTTTCTCCGAGCACGCCTCCATTCACTCGACGCCTTCCCCTGCGCACCATCCTGTGTCCATTCCGCCTCCCGGCGACCTACCACCTCTGAACATGCCTCGTTCTGCTGGCGACTACTACATGGGGAACGGATCTATCCCTCCTCACGTTCGGGGGGATTTCTCGCAGGCCAGCCCTCGCTCCTCGCCAACAGCCACGTCGCCGTCTCTCTCGAGCTTCAGCAGTGCGCCACACCAACGACCATCTATGACATCGCACCCTTCTGGATACGCTCCCCCTCAGCCGCTTGAGCCGCCTGCTAATAGTGATCACCGGCCCAACAGTGTCAGCGGGAGTCCGCACATGACGAGTCTGGGCTGGGCCTCTCCGTCTCACGGTAGCATTCCGTCTCCGGGGTCTGTGAATGATTTCAACTATCCTGAGCCAAGTGGTCCAGCTTATCCCAGCTCCATGCCTCCGCACATGTACTTTCCCAACTCGACCATTAGGCGGCCAACGAGCACTGAGCCTGAGAACTACGAACTGAAGCCGAGATTGGGGGATAACGGGTGGTCGACTCCCGTGTAATGCGAGAATTCCCGCATTTGACAGTAGTCGTCTACCCGCATTTGGTTCGATCTTATCGAATCAATTCCTTGCTGAGCAACGAAATGGCTCTTACGCACGGAATATCCGATTTTCCTTTTGTCACTTGTCCCCGTCCGGCTTTTCCCCCTTGTATCCCTAGCAGAAGCTAAATGGCGCTGCATCATCTTTTTACCCGCCCCCTTTTGTCTTGTTTTTGTTCCTATCCCCTCATCATCATAATCATGCTTTTGCCCTTGCGGACTTATTTTCTTTCTGTTCACGGTTACTTTGCATTGATAAGGCCTTGCATAAGCGCGCTGGGAGGAGTCCGGACTAGCTCTGATTTGTGTTCTCTATTCGTTTCTTTCTGTTTAATGTGTGACACGACCAGGATGAAGCATTAATAGAGAGCTGGATGGCTCATGGCTAGGTAGGCCGGGGTTCGGGAATTCGGGTATCTGTTTTCTATCTGTGGTTGTCATCGACATTGGTGATCACCTTGCGTGCTTTCAATCCCCTTGCATCCCCTATACCTAATTTTGTCTGTGTTGCTGATACATTATTCCCCCTATCGCTTGTCTCGTTTTTACCCCTCGAATTTCCTTTGTACCTTTTCCTTTGTCAAAGAATCAACACAGGAACCTTGTAAATGAGAATTACAAAACTGTATGTATGATAGAAGCATATTAAATATCGAAGGCTGCTGGATGGCTTTTGAGAGATGGAGATATAATAACAAGATCCTGGGCGCCTTAATAAATCATAGCAGTCAGTGCGGAGAAATCGAATATATGGATGTTGGCCACGGCGTCATGGAAAACCTGCATAATGCTGACTCAGGCAAATTAGAAACGAGACGACTAGGAGTAATGCGCCCCAAGCCCAGTTGCATTCATGTCAAATACACCCTGCGCAGGACACGAGCAGGTAGCCGGATTCGAAGCGCGAGAGAAAAGCATGGCGCCGAAGGAAGTGGAAGAGGCGTTCTTTTCGCGGGCCGAGAGCAGGCCGAAGCGGAGGAAGACCTCAAAGGTTGTAACGACGATGGAGATAAGGATGAGGACGATAATGATCCAGGTTTGATCTAGTTTAGCCGATTAGTGTGAGTGTGAAAGTCAGTCAGATGGGTTAAGCAGTGGAAAGAGACGCACGGGATGTTCTGTTATCGGCGATCGAGTCGGAGAGGATCTCTGCGAGGTCGAGGAATACTCGGCATCGTTCGTTGAGGACTTGGATCCGGGGTTTGATCTCGAGGTATTCGCGGACGGCGTTATAGAGCGGGTAGAGGGTTGGTTCGCTCTCCCAGAAGAAGTTGGGTACGTCGAGCATGTTGGATGCTATTACAGAGTGTGCTTGTTAGTCTGGCCGGGAATGATGTGGTTTGGTTGAGGAAAAGAGCTGGTGTTGAGGTACTACTGGGATGGACTTACAGAGGTTGACTTCTACGCGGCTTTTGAAAAGCTTGCCTAGGATACGGAAGACTTCTTCGCGCTTCATGCCCAGATTGCCTGTCATGGCGAGTCTGCGCGGGACGTCCTTCGCCTCGGCCATTTGGCGCGCCATGACTTCTTCAAAGAAGCAGAGCTTGGTGCTTTGCGCGATGCCGTGGCTGATGGCTAGTTTGATCATGTGGTCGCCGCTGCGCAGGGTGATCATGTCGTTGAATACCCGAGGCCGTGAAATTTCGGTCGAGTATTCGAAGTGAAATTCTTCTGTTTCAAAGTCCTCCTCATCCAAGGGCATGGTTGCCAGTGGTATGCGGGATCCTGTAGTAGAGGAGTTTGCAAACGCCAGATCGGCTAGGAGATCCTTTTCTTGCCTCTCTGTCAGGTTCCAGAAAACCACTACGCCGTAGCTGAAAACAAACATCTCTGCGACATCGTACGGTAGGCCTGCGGGCGCTGTTGAGGCAGGAGATCCTTGGGCTGGCCGATGACCAGGGACTGAGACTCTGCTGCTATCCCTCACCGTATCGCTGTCAGAATGATGTAAGTCCTCGTCGAACTTGTTGATCAATGTGCCATCGAGCACCAATGATTCGCTAACATCGTGCAATGAACTATGTCTTTGATGGTGACCCCCGACAGAATGCTCCTCTGCTTCCATGACATAGTCATCATGATGGTCGCGAAGCTCGTTCCTCTCAATCTCCTCATCCAAAAGAGATTTGCCTCCAGGTTTCTTCACCATCGGACTGCTTCGCACCCGATAGCCCTCAAGACCAGGTAACAGCGGTAAATGGTACGCCGTATACAGACAATCATCGTACAGCTTAGTCCGTCCGCCATGCTTGTCCTTGACAAATGCCGCCAACGAACTCATCTTGTAAGCTTGCGCCGTGCAATAAGCAGTAACACGCGCCAGCTTTTCTGCACGACGGGCCTTGGGTAGCCGCTCTGCGTAGGTTTTGGCCTTTTCCGGGGCGACTTTGCGTCGACGCAGCAGCTCTTCCTCGGCCAGCAAAGGAGCAATGTCATTATCGACGCCGAAATCACCCCCAAGCCTCTTTTGTGTCAACAGTCTCTGTCGCAAAGAATCGGGATCCAGATTCCTCTCCTTGGCCAGTCTCTGCACGAACTCCTCGTCCACCTCGTCTTCTTCCTCCTCCTCATTCAGATCCCCCTCCACTCCCTCCGCTTCCGGTAAAAGGACGAGCTTCTCGCTGACTTTTGTCGTGCGCGGAGGTAAACGCGGTTGCGCCGCAAGTCGCCCCATCGTTGCTGCGGTGTTGACCAGCCGACTTCCGCTTCCAATAGGACCAGAGCCACCTGCACTACTTCCCGCACCGATCAATCCGCCAGCTGCAGACGCTAGACGAGAGCGTGGCCGTGGTTGTGTCGTGGTCGGGGTGGACCACGCTGTTGCATGGAGGGAACGTCGGAAGCGTATTGAAGGACATTATCGACGGTGATAAAGCGTGTACCAGGGGCACGACGAACAGGTTGAGGTTGCTGCTCGCGCGAGTCCGTGACCTATTACTCCGTGTAATCCCGTAATTAGCATGCCGTATAGGATAGGAAGAACCTAATATGCGATGAAAGGAAAGCTCACCAGCACGTGGGGGCTCCTCTGGCCGGGGACTCCTCCACGGGCAGGAGACATGATCAAAGCAATTTGCCGTTAATTTTCTGTCGTGATATCAACTGCAATGCCCAAAGGCCACCTTGATCGTGTTCCCTCGAATATGAGTGCACTGGCAGGTCCAGGTAGTGCCTCAGGTTCTGGTCTCCGATTGCAGCGAGTCTTCTCCGAGACTAATCGAAACTCGGGCAAAAAGGGAGATTTAAATCAACATATCCACAATCTCAGCAATCTCAGAGCAGGCAACCAATATCCGCACCATACTCTTCATTCATATAGTGACAAGATTAAAAGCAAACGAACCAGCCAATCACTCAAGGTAGTTGATGCTCAAACTCCGACCTTCATTCAAAGCTTCACCTAACCTCGCCCACCGCCTATTGAACAAAATGGCCCTAAGCCTTATTCAGACCGGCTTAACAAAGAATGACGTCGTCCAGCCCGTACCTTGGTGCACCTTACCAAAATTACCGTATTGAAACGTCGTAAATATTACCTAGCAGTACAGTCATATACCAATCCCGAACTTTCGGCCAGCCACGTGCGCTACAGTGGAGCTAGGCCCAGTGTAGCTTAGTGGACTGGCTCTAGGTTGATCCGGGGTAATAGTAAGTTCCATGTTTCTCGTATTGGAATGGGACTTAAGAGGCTGGGCTGGGCTCAAAGGGCCGTGAAAGGGGTCATGTGAAGTAGAGATGGCGTGGGACAATTTTTCAATTGAGAGAGCCATGAAAGACACGGTGATGAGGGCATTGATTTGAAAGCGGAAGAAAACTAATGAATCTGACGAGCATTGATGGAAAGGCTAGAGGGAGGGGTAACAATGGAAGGATTCCTGAATAACCCGTAATTGGCAGTCCCCGAATTGGGACCGAAACGGATTAGATGCAGTAGTCTGAAGCCACAAAAAAGTCCAATTACTTCGGTGCATTTGGTGTTGAGTAGGGAGCAAAAGAAGAGGCCAGGAACCACCAAGAAAATAGCATCAGAAAAATGGCCGAGAACCTTTTTACATCTGGAATAACTTCATACTTCTATTTGATTTTTCTAACAATAGTCATAGTATTGAAGGCCCGCGCCTTGCAGGATACTCCTTGCGTGACAGCAATCCTCTTTTGTCTCAATTACATGCATATGCTTTTGCAGCACGATATGATAGGCCTCAGAAATGCAAATATACAAAAAAACGAAAATAAAAAGCAGAGGCCTGGGAAAGGAAGTATTATCACAAACGCCTTGAAGCATGGTCAAAAAAAGCTTGCTTCACTATGCTTCCATATGCAATAAGCTGTATGAAGATTAAAGGCATGCAGAAAATGGCATCTCAAATGTCAGGCACCTGTATCTGACTTGAGTAACAATGTCGAATCAATATGCAAAGGACATCGAATGGCTCCGGGCCTTTAGAGACCATCCCGGAGTCGTCCGTGCTCGTCCCAGATTTCCTTCTTCATTCGTTGTAGACGAATATGCTGTCGTTGTAAACGCTCCAACTCCGCCCGCGGTGGGTCTGGATGCGAAGCCATGGAATCATGTAGTGCACGATACTTGGCATAGTACTGCTTGAATTTCTGCGACTTCTCTCGTAATTGCTGGCGCAGTATCTCACGGCTGAGAGGCGGCGACGCGCTCCCAGTGCTGCCACTCGAAGTACTGACTGCCCGCCTCCGCTTGTGCTCTAGGTTGCCGGTCGTGCGGCCTGTTGTCTTGGACTGAATTGCAGATGGTCGGTCTGTCTCTGCCTTGCGCTTCAAAGGATTCACAGTCTCTGTTGTCTTGGTAACTCCGTTGGTCTTGATCGCTCCAGTCGACTGTGTGACCTTGTTCGGTTTTGATAACTGCGTGATAAGAGGAGAGGACGAGGAACTAGAGGTATTGTTTTGACTCGAAGAACGACTGCGACTTTGGGCATCCGATGCATTGGCCGGGGGAGAGGATCCGAGAGGCGACGGTTTTTGAGGTGATCTCTGGTTCGGTGCTCGGTTGGACGGCGGCCTCTTCGCAGCGACAGACTTGGTGGCATTCTGAGAGGTCGATTCGGCTTTGGAAGGCGGGGCCTCGGACTGATTCACCCTGGGCGTCGACGCACGGGAGGGATCTCCGACTTTGCTCGGCGCAGTCTGTTTGGGTTTAGGCTGGACCTTTGATTGCTCTGGCTTCGCCTTCTCTGGTGCTGGTGCACGCACCAGTGCATCCGGCATGTCTGTGTCATCTTCGTCCGATTCCTGAACAAATTCTGCTGATTTGAATTTGCCGTCCGTCTTCGATGCTGGTTTCCGCTCCGCCTTCTTGGTGACCCGTCCCGTCAGCGTGCTATTCGTGGAAGTCTTGCTCTTGGTAGGATTTGTTCGTTTTGTAGAAGAATCTTTGTCATTGGCCCGTTTCTTTGGAACTGGCGCGCCAGATTTGGGAGCTGGCTTTGGAGTCGGGCCATTGGCACTGACCCTATCAGTCTCGTGACCGGTCGTATATCCATCCTTTCCATTATCGTCAGATGCATGCACTTGAATTTTTGGAGTAAGGGCCTTTTTGATGGGCCCTGTCCGCAGGTCCAATCGCGACAAGCACTTGCCCTTGCCGCGTTCTTCTTTGGGGAGCAACATTTGCCAGAGTTTATCCGAGCGCGATATCCGCATCCGATCAAATGCCGATATGGCATTTTCGATAGCTTCTTGCCGCTCCTCCTGGGAAGGGTATGGGAAATTCCATACGTCCAGTTCTTTGTAAGTCTTGTCCCTAAGATCGAACTTTTCAGGGTCAATCCGGTTTTCGATGCCATATTTCCGAGCCAGAGCTGAGCAGTCTTCAAGGGACGATCGCGTTTGGCGTGCGAGAAATTTGGCAGAGACAGCACGCACGGCGAGAAGATGAATGAAAGGTACCTTGAGGGCATCGAGCCGAACACGGTCCTTGTTATGGGAGGAGGGTGCGGATGTCGGAGTGAGCGGCGGTATTGGTGCTGGAGAGCGAGACACGCCAAGGGCTGGGCTCGAGGATAAGGAGCGGTTGGCGGTATTCTTGAGGAGACGTTCTTTCTCTATTTCCACTTTCGTTGTCGGCTTTCGAGCCAGGATGGCAGCTTCTCTACCGGTGCTGGACCTAAGATCACCCGCTCGCAGAGCTTTGACTTCATCAATGCTCGTAATCATGTGTGTTTTCTTTGATTCCTTCCCTCTTTCGAAAGCATTTAGGCTCTGCTCAAGGTTCGCCAAAGCCTGATCAGTGGCCGCGGTGGCCTCTTTGGCCCGTTGAACCTCTAACCTGTGACTCAGAACGCCTGCGAAGTATAGGTTCTCTTTGTCGGTGGAGCTAGCGGCGTAGACCTCGGATCGGTGAATTTCGGGTGCGGAGTGAAATTGCTGCGTTTTGGAGCCGTAGTACAGGGTCGGGTGTTTGCCTAATCGAATTCGAGCAGTTTGATCTTTCCGTAAGCTCTGTATGAGTTCATCGAGAGTACTCTGAGCCAAATTCAGTCGCATGATCTGAGGCGGTTTGGCAGTGGCATTGTCTCCGGGGTTGTCTCTTAGTAGAGACAACCCAGTTTCGGGAACGTCAAGAGCAGACATGAGGAATAGTCAGAAAGTAAACTGATGTACGAAGGGCCGATACGTCCAAACTTCGGAGGCAGGAGAGGGATTGGTAGGGTGAGCGGTTGCGAGATCCGGAACAGAGGCGGACGGCAGCGTGGAAGCTGCAGGTTAGCGGCCGAATGCAACAAAGGACGAGGTAAGACGATACGCCATAGATCAAAGCGACGATTGACAATGGAGAGGAAAAAGGGGAATTTGCATGTCAGAGAACAAAGAGCAATCGAGAGTCACCAAAACCCATGGCAGAGGGAAGGGTTGGTGGTGAGGTTGTAGTAGAGGTGAGAGCGGAAGGAAGGGAAAGAGAGAGAGAGTGGAGGGAGGAGAGACCGATGAGATGGGACGATGCCAAATGAGCCAGGCTGAGCAATGAGTGTTTAGTTAGTTAATTAGGCGGACTTGAAGCGGAGGACAAAAGCGACGAAGAGGAAAAGAGCGAGGAGAAACACAGTCAATGAGTGGGGAGAGCAAGCGGTATCACTCAGGGTACCCTTTCTGGGCCAAGTTCGAGCCCGGATGATAGTGTCAGGCCCGCTGAAGGTTGTTAACCCAATCATTCAGAGGAATAGGTATTGAATGATGATGGAGTCCATAAAGCTAGGTAATTATCATACCTAATAAGCATGATACCTCGATTATTATTAATTAGTAGAACAGTCTGACTTCTACCTACTATCTAGTGTATTTTTTTATTTTCTTTCTCCTGCTAAGTACGGGGGGAGTATTTAGGTTCTCTTCAATATTCTCTTTAGCCACCACAGCAATGGGCTTTGCGTCGTATGGAAACAAAGGTGTGGCAAGTCAGGGCCGGGCAACAAAGTCATCATCACGAGCATTAGAGACAATGACTCCCATTGGATGCCTGTGTTACTCAGATTTCCCTGGGCCGCATTGATCCTAAGGTACAGAAGCAGGTGGGCAGAGGTAGGTACATAACATACAAAACCTGTTGGAAAGATAATCAGAAGGGCAGACGCATGGGAACCGATAGTACCTTTGGTCTGATGATAGTAAAAGAGAAAAATGGGCACTATAAGCTAGTCATGATTGGTGTACTCTACAGGACTCGTTCAGAGATGTTTAAACGGATGGTAGGGCAGTTTGGGTAGGTAGGATTGTTGGGTCAGCCTGGAGGTTTACATTTAGATTGCTGTACAGAGGATAATCTGCGTAAGGTACATACGCCATGGTATGTAATTTTACCTCGGTTTAACTTAGGTAAGGTACCTATTTGGTGTTCTTGAGTAGTAAATATTGATAGCCAATTATTATGGACACCTCGAACAGTTTCTGCTTTCATTTCGTGGTATAAAGTTATCCCTTTCAATTCTCCACAGTACCTATACTCCATTGACTTGAATCTCTTCCTTGATTTTGTTTCTATTTTTGTCCGTTTTCTTTTGTCAGCGTCAAAGTGGCTTTGACACCTTGAAACAATGCGTATGAGGTAAAAGGTACCTACCTTACGTTAATCTGTATTGAGTATGGATACGGAATACCATTCCAAACAGCGTAAAGCCGGGCTGAATAATTACGGATGACGGAACTGCTTGTCTGGACAACTCTACGGACGCTATCTTACGCCATGGCCATGCCCACTTGTGGCCCCCACCACAACCAGGATCACTGGGACCACTGGGTGACAAGAATGGATCCACCATCTACTCCAAATCCTCCAGTAACAATCATTTATGCATCCATCGGTCCTTGATGGATCATTCTGTTCGTCTCTCATTGATTCCTATTACCATAGACTGCGAAGGATCTGGTAATGAGTAATTGAGTAGATAGAGAAGATAGTCTACGCTCTTCACTCCATTCTTCCAGAATTCTGGCAGGAGAGGGCAGTTTTCCGTATGCCGAGGAGAGAATACGAAGCGGAGTACAGGATAGGCAGGTACAGTATGGCCATGGACCGGTGACAATTTGACTTCCATCAATCACTCTCGGTAAAGTAATACAGATGCAGTTCGAGAGGGGAAATCAAGCAGAGAAAGTTTATTAAATGAGGCGATATTACCTGAAGAATTGTTGCATGATTCTGTCTTTGTATAATAGGAGTGCCAAACATCACTATTGTATCAACTTAAAGGATCCAAGGAGAAGTCATTCCAGGCTCTCTGGTCACTGCGAGAAACCAGGGAATCCTCTCTCCCTCTGATTGATTCTGGAGATGGAGAAGTTAAGCAATTACATCACTTTTGCTGCTGACAGTGAACTCCTGACCTCCGTGCGATTCCCGATTCTTCCTAGTTGAATACCGAAGGGTACAGCGATCAGCGTCGAAGGGCTGGTTCAGCTTGATGGTACTCCGTACTCCGTAGATCACCCGTCGTCCAGACCAACGGCGAGTCTCGATCGTTGCTCTCTCGGTCTCTCCCTGTTCCTCTTTCGCTCATCAGTAATACTTGATCATACTACAGATTGTTACTACTATCCGCGCGACATCACTTCCCCACAAGTCCAGGATAAGGTAATGGAATGCAAGGCAGCTCCGAGTATGTAGTTTGGTGAGCGTGCTTCGACAGCCACAAAAATGTGCTTTTGTTACCACTCAATTCTATGACTGCCAACAGAATATACGTAATTGGACCACGACGAAAATGTACATACATAAGGCAAGGTAGCGAGTATCAACCATATTGAAAATAATGATGATGTGCAATGATCCGATCCCCAATAGCCGGCCGGGATCTAACCGAAACAGACCAACCTGATGGTCGCTCTGCACTAGCAATTCCATTGGTTGGGAGGTGTT